CTCATCAACAGAATTTACGTATCCTAAATTACCTGCATGTCTACCATCAATGGTGCGCGACTTAAAATTCTCGCTATGCTGGTTCTGTTTGTTCCTCAAGAATCATGGGATTTACAGCTTCGGATGTTCGGCTACATCACTTGCGGATTTCCGAGAATCTTCGGTTATGTTTTGCAAGTCATTAAATATTCCATCTCAGTCCCTCTCGACCGAGGTGGTTTTGGTGGATGGAATCTAATGCTGACCAACATAGACAGCTCTTTCATTATGTCACGCGATCTCCTCACGCAACCGAAAGTGACACGAAACCATGACGACATGGTGGCGTCTAAGATTTCGATAACGATTGATTGCTGCCTGATGACGATATAACTATTCACTATGGTTCCATAACTCGCCCTTTTTAGTTATTTTGTTTTCATTGATGCATTTATCTACTCTTTTTGGCACTGAAATTAATCCACCGCGGGCACAAGAGATCAGAGAGATGATCAACAGGGAGGGTGTTAGGGAGTCCCAGCTCATCCCCTACCTTCCCTAAGAGACAATACTGTTACTTGTCTGTAACCAAAACTCTTTCAAAGACAGGATCGCATAGTAGACTAGTAGTATGGCTGTTCTTTAATTTCTTTTTCATTTATTATCTTTTTTTCAGTGGAACACGAGGGTGTCGATACAATGAACCGTCAGGCGTCTTTGGGGGTACCCTCCTCTGTACAATCTTCGTTGTCAAAAACAAGGGAAGGAATCTCCAAGGATGTACCCCCCCTTGCGAGTAAAAAAAATTACGAGTGAAAGGGGAGGGAGTGGTCAAGAACTGATTCGCCGCGTTTTCTGAATCAAACGTTGGACCCCGCGTATCAGAAGTCCTTGCAATGAATAGCTGTTTGCTTAATAATGAATGATGGCTTTTACGGCCAACGGTTAGGATTTTGTCCATTTTACGGCTAAAGATGACCTTGCTTTCTTTGGGATTAAAAGAAAAAAAATCACGGTGAACTTTTTCACGACGTATGGTTAAAATTTGTCAATTTTCATGCCTAACGGCTAATTTCTGACCGTTTTACGACCAACAGTTGATCCCGTTGAAATTCTTAAGAATCTTTGCTTAGCGACGAATATTTGAATGTTGAATAACAATTCGATTGTCAATTAAAAGGTGAATGTTAAAAAAGCACACTGTATGGAAAAGAATACGTTTAATAAAAGAAAATTGAATAAATTCATAACACCTAGTTACAAATGAAAAGACCAAATTGAATACAAAACTAGACAAATTGAATATTCCTTAGTGCTACTTGCCGTAGACCTATTTCAAATTTATCATTTTTGAGTGAAAATTCCACAATTTTTTTTTCTCACGATGACAAGGGCAGGAAGGCCAGTTTGCATGAACCTCACAGATTGACAATTAAGCCCACCATTTTTGAAGGACGCAATAGTCGAGCTGACTTTTTTCATCCGATTTTTACTCTGCATATCACTTAGAATACTGTAACATCGATTTGAAAACATCGTCAAAGTGACTGCTTCGATTCCAAGAGCCGTGTTTAAAGCCATCGTTGACATGCTTGTATGAAAGGCAGAACTAAAGGGGGGAGGGGGGCATGGTACGGGGCCAGGTTAGTGCCATCTCGTATTTCTCATCAAATTTTTTTTCACGACTTCAACTTCCCTGCAGGACTTCAACTTTCCGCATGACTTCAATTTTGCTACACGACGTCAACTCTTTTTCACAACTTCAACTTTTTTTCACGACTTTAACTTTTTTCCACGAATTCAACTTTCCTGCACTACTTCAACTTTCCTGCACTACTTCAACTTTCTTGCACGACTTCAACTTTCTTGCACGACTTCAACTTATTTCACGACTTTAACTTTTTTTACGACTTCCACACTTCAACTTTCCAGCACGAGCTAAATATTGCGATGTCCAAGTGGATTTGGACCCCCTAGATTTGGACCTTCCGGTCCATATCCGCTAGCGGATATGGAACTATGGACCCCCCCTCCGTTGCCAATGCATACGAACTGAGGAATTTCACTTGTGTTGTGATCGTAAAGAACATCGCCATCATCCAAAACCGCCAAACCGTTAAAAAATTCAATTAAAACCGAAAACCGTAAGCAAAACCGTCAAAAGCGATAAATTTTCACTTCCCAGTTATCAAAACCCTAATCAATCCGATGCAAGTGCGGCACACAAACATGTTGCCGTAAGTATTATTTCCAATTGAAATATTCGGATGAAAAATTCTTAACTTCTGTCCGTGTAAGAGAGATTTCATTCCAATCAGCAGTGTTGTCACTATATTACCTAGTAGAGTGACATTTTTTGGCAGGATACTGTATGAATGCCCCAAAACGGATATAAACCTGGATGGATAGGGTAACGGTTGGATGAAAAAAAATGTTATTTGATGATCTTGTCACAATTCAGAACAACTATGTCTTCTAGTTGTTTCCTTCGTTCATTTCTTGTTCAATACAAAAGTTTTGCTATAGTGAACAAGACGCCGAATGCTTAACGTAGAATGCGTCGGTCGTTATCTATAGTCACTCAGTTTTTACGTGGAAAATGATAAATTCAATGCTGTCTCCTTAGAGTACAGGAATGAAATCGAAGAATAAAGACAACAACAAACATGTGATCAACACAGGATGTTATGTGCAGTCACTCAACAGGCTTCTTTTGCCATCGCCCAGAATGTTATTGTCTTTCGCGACATGTACTTGCAGTGCCCATTTAATCAGTGGGCAGCATAATAATTTGCATATCTTGAACTAGTCGGTCGTGATTGGTCAGCAGGTAAAGCTTTGAGAATACATGAGTCTCTTGGCAGATTTCAGCTGCTGTCAATCAAACTAAATTTAATGATTGATTAGGACTATTTTATACGAATAGCTGTAATTGAGGATTAATCCGTATGAAGTTTTCAAGAAAAGAAAAATAAATGAAATTCCATCCTAATATTACTACATGTTGATGTTAATGATTAATCAAAAATATTTTACACGTAAACCTTAATGAAGCTTGTAAATAAATTTCATTGAATACTTGAATTTTAGCCGGGTTTTTTTAATTTAAAGTATTTATTTTATATCATAAGCCTCAAATTTTTGCTTAAAATTCCCAGTAATTCTTAAACATTCCTAGAAATTCCTAGGAATTTTTCAGATTTACAGCTTTTCCGGGAAAGTCATTGGTGCTCCGAGTTGGAATTCCTAGGAATTCCTGTGAATTCCAAGTCCTGTTGCCTATAAACTTGGAATTTCTGGGAATTTCTAGGAATTTTTTAGGAATTTCTAGGTTTTTTAGAACCAGAGTTGTTATGGTTGGGAATTACCAGTCCGAATTTAGCGTGAAAATTCACACCTTTATTCCTATAAATTCCTAGGAAAAAATTCCTAGGAATTCCATATCCATTTCGCAAGGGCTGTGCGGCAATTTTACCCAATCTTGAACCTGACTTTTGTTACAACGTACTTACTTGTGTTAACTACACATACTACTTAGGCGTAGTTAACTCAATGGGTCGCGTAAAATCTAACCTCTGTTTTGCAATCCGCAAGAAGCTTCGCCAAGCCCGAGATTCTTTTGTAATCTATTCCTTTTTAGCTTATTATTTCAATTTACTCCCCACTTTGCCTTGTGCGCCATCTTGTAGAGCGTAGAATGTATCCTGAGTAATAAGTACTTGGCTGAACTTGGCTGGGAGCAATAAAGCGGAAATGAATTGGGTTACAAACGGAATCACTTGTCTTTGTGATACGTACTAGCAGACAATCAAACAAACAGACCATACAGCTTTCTTTAACACGCTTACAAAATTCTGTGAAACCCAAAATATAGGAAACTTAACGAAGAAAAATCTTATGAATGGTTAATTTTTTTAAAATTTTTCTCAGTTGTCAATTGGTTGCGAAATTTATTCTTCTCACAGCAGGATTTCGCCTGTCTTGAGGCAAAAAACTGGAACAAGATTGTGGCAGATGAAAACTTTTCTAAAGGCATGGTTCATCGAATAACTGCCACGATTGCAGTACTCTTGGTGTGAAATGTTTGTGTGGCAAAAAACTTTTCAACCTGACTTTGTTTGTACGGTTGTTAAATTTATGAACGACTCGTCACAACATCGGGACATTGATATCTGTTGTTATTAAGTCCGTCTCATTATTGGCCATCTAGGGCAAACTCCACCCTTTCCTTCTGTTTCTGGAAATAACGCATCCTTGCCGCAATCATCTTTACAACGATCTCAATAATTTTTGCAGCTAACCCTATTACCTTTGTACTTCGGCTTCTCGGAGCCATTGCCTAAGATATTGGCCTTTATGTTATACAAGTTCTTGTAATGGCAAAAAAACACCGACATTTAAAAAAACGATTTGAGCGATGAAGGTGACTTCAGTGTTTGTCCGATTACGTTTTATCATTCCTTAAGGATTTCAGTTTTAATTCGTTTCTAAAGTGGTGTAACTTGTCTAGGCAAAGAGGACTTCATTAAGATTTTTTCTGAAGGATTACAATTGCCGTGTGTGCGACATGAAGTACACTTGTCCGTGATTTTACCTGTGTTTGTTCAACTAAGTGTTTGTGTATGGCCTTGGCCTAATTAAGGTGGTAACCAAAACAGGTGTCTTTGCCATCTTTTATCTTTACGGCAACAGAAGGTTGGGGAGAGAAAGATATAATTTGTAATAAGGGGGGAGAGAGCATCGGTGAAAAGGAAGGAGAGGCGAGGGGGTAGGACTGCTCATGTTTCAACTGATTTCAAATATCAACCGCTTACGACTCGTACAATGAAAGTAACTTACCCTATTAACGGTACGTAAGTGTAGGAAATGGGATTGTTGTTGGCTCTAAATCTATAGCCCATTTAAATTTTTGTGCACAGCCCATGCACCAAATCTATGTAGTAAAATATTGTATCCTTCCTCATACTAATTTATAAGAATGAGTTTGCTAGTACCTGTATGGCTTTACACAATGATATTTTCCAGGCTCCAAAAAAGTCACTTTCCTCATTAACATTTCCCTTAAATCTACTGGCTTGCTAAAATCCTCAGTCCCTCGCCCTGACAGCCCAGCCTCATGAACTAGTCCGCAACAGGTGTGAGAAGCAAATGAATGACAGAAATAAGTGACCCTGTTCCCTTATACACCTTTCTCAATGCCGTTCGCCTATACTGAAGGTGGCATTTAAGACATTTTGTATAAACTACACATTTTTCTATTTAGCCAGGGTACCGGCATAATTATTTCGTAATGGTTATCACAAGAAAATGGTTGGCTTGAAATATATTATATTGTTTTGCCAGTAAGTAACAGCATTAATGAAAAATGTTTAAAAAAGGGTGCTTTCAATGTATAACCTGAGGTGTTGCATTAAGTTGGCCAATTTTAACAAATACCCAAGCCTTCTTAAAACCTCTTATGTTAAAAATTGTCAGAGTGAACCAATGAAGGCTTAGTTGATGGTCAAATGAATACTTTTTCAGATCAATAAAATGTATTGTTGTGTTTCATGGTAACCGTAATGTTGCCACAACTCCAGTTTCCAGGACATAATTTCATAGATGCTACCGTATAAGACTTTTGAATCTCTTTCATGGGTCAATAACAAAATCGACTCACCTTTAAAACTAAATGTAAAACTTAATTGATGTTTGGATCAGTTTCTGTAATGCAGAGATATTCCAGTTCTAGCTTGTCTTCGTTAAAATCTAACTTCCGCAGTGCAAGAAACAGACTATACACAAATTTAGAATCTCAGTGGCTAGAGTTGCCAGGATAGAGGATAGTTGTTTTAAAGACATGTAAATTGATATGCAGTTACAGCATTAGTCTTTCCAGCCAGAGCAGTTGAAAGAGGAGAATTAAAACTTTAACACGAGCCCCAGTTGGAGTAACTTTTCTTTTAAATTTTCTATGCTTATCAGAGGAGTTTAACACGTTAGAGAAAAATCGTTGAACAGTCATAAGAGGCGACATTGAGAGAAGGTATAAGAGATGCTAATACGATTCTATTACATTGTTTCACTGACTGCTGATCCCGCGTGTAAGCCCTTCAATGGACTGGCGATATCTAGTTCTTAATTCGAAGTCGTTTACCGTCGTTTCATTAAGTCTAAACCAAAATTAACAAACACGCGCAATTACATATAATTTTTCCCTATTTTCAAGCACGAGGAAAATGAATGATGTGCTTACTAAGGGTGAATGCTCGATACAGACGCTCTTTGGCCATGGAGTACTTACAAAGACGCACGACGTAATAGAGAAGCGACCCAGTCTTTATAATATAAGACTAGGCAGAGGCATTTCCTACAATCTCATCACAACAAAACTCTTCTGCAAGAAGTTTGCATTGCACTATTTCGTTACATAAGGCATCGTACAAAACTTTATATGTAGCATCTGAGCCTTCCTTTTGTTTCCAAGCCATTAACATCTTAAAAGCTTTCTTTGCCAGCCCCTCGTTGCCTTCGTTAAAGTTATCTATTGCAGCTACGTCGAATCCTAAGCGTCTTCCTAATTCCTCCCATTTTTTTCCAAGTTTTACAGACAGATTGTCTAACTCGTCAGCTGATGGTCCATAAGCCTTAACCAAATCTGAGGATAATAATGGAAGGAGAAGAAAAAATTAGAAAAGGGGTGCTTCAGCGATTTGGCGAATAGCGAACAGTTGTAGCAAAAGGCGACTTGTCTTTTTGGTATCATTCAATACCGAATCGTTGGCCTTAAAGATTGTCAGGCTTGGACGAGGAGACATTTGCAGCAGCAGGGGAACCATTTTCCCAACCTATCAAAATAAATCCCTAAAAAGTTTTCCGAACTCATTATCTATCTGTGACCTCTTCATTCGTTTATGGCCCGACAAGCATCTTGAAAATGGAGGTCATTAACAACGTCTCTTAGCCAGCCTCCAGCCGCTAATGCCGGAATAGGTGATAGTTGTTTACGATACACGGGTGTTCGTTTGGTGATCCAGTTTTAATTCGTGATTTTATATTCTCTTCACATCACAACAAGGTGAAAAGGATGTCTAATAAACATAATGTCACTCCTTCTTCATAAACAAATTTTACCGCAGATAAACGTATAACAGAAATGTGCAAACTTGATAAAAATACAATAAAAAGGAAAGTCCGTCCCAACATTTTCAATCTCGGTACTACCTACAGCGTTTCCTCTTATCAGAAGCCGCAACAGGGCTGCATAAAGATGATTCTGAATTTGGTTGCTCTACAATTGAATGTCTCACACTTTGGGCGGAAATACCTGCAGAATAATGGGTTTAATGAGATGGTTGGGTTGAGAACTAGAGAGCAAGTTTCACGGTGCAAATATATGGTTCAAAACGATGGTGTAGTGATCCTGGACTGTGATCGTCCGGGTAAGACCCAGTATTCACAACTTGGAGTAGAAAGTGTTATCGATTTCCCTTCTGAGTAACAATGAGCATTGACAAATTTGACAAAGGGTGCTGTTAAAAAGAAACATATTTGATCTAAGATTTCATTTGAAAAGCAATAACAGGTTGCAAAGGATTTGTTAGAGTTACTCCATTTTTTAACGATATAACCAACGGAATCATTTTTTTAAAGAATTACACTTCTTTGTGTCTTTCCCAAGCTGTTTTGAGTTTTACTTGTTTCCAGTAGAAAATTCCTTACAAGTAAGGTCGCACGTACCGTGAAGGTCTGCATCGAGTTTACTGATATGTAACATAGACAATAAGCCATCATTATTGAGCGCGAGGGGAGCATGCCCCCAATTTATTAACACATGAAGTAAGGCAAGTTATTATGACTTTGCACTAAGAACACGTTGCTTCGTCACTAAATGCTATACAGCAATTTCAATTTACGTTGTCGGATCAAAGCTTCAAGGGTACGGGACAAGACCGAAAGGCGGTATGGGTAGATTAGAATTAATTTTAGGCTTTCGGGGTTGTCGGCGCGAGATAGACATGGAGGCTGAAAATACAATTAGGAGATCTTCGCTGTATGGACGAGGCATTGTTAATTTTGCTGATAATTATTCATTAAGATCCCATATTCCCCTTCGGTCTTGTCTTGTAGGCTTGAGGCTTTGATCCGACAACGTAAATTAAAATAGCTGTATACATTTTCAAAACCTACAGAGCCCGCATTTCTGAGTTTGCATATTTTAGAACAATAATGACTGGCCTAGTAAATTGTATTTATTCGAACAACAACGAAACCAACAACAACAAAAAAAAAACAACTTACCGCTTCCTTCTTCAAAATCAAAGGTGATAGGAACAGAAAGCTAAAGGGAAAGGGGAAAATTCGCAATATTACGGGTGCGTATGGAGTGAAAAGAAATGAGGAAATAAAGAAAGGACAAGATAATAGGAAAAATTTTAAAAAAATAAGTATAGAGACATAGAAAGTGACTTCAAAACAACTGAAATATAAAAGTAGTACACTAGATCAAAAATTTGCTAGGTCCTATATGTTCCTGTACTATTTCCTGTTCGCAGAACATTTCTTTAACTACAAGACATTTATCAGTCTTGTGTTTCTAGTGATTCGTCCTAAATAAGGTTCGTGCCGCCTTAAAATGGCCTCGTTATCTTACTCGAAACCTTTTGATGGCGAATTTGCGAGACTATTATCGACTTAGCAGAGCTTATTTAACCCGAAAGAACTATTTTTCCAGAAGACACCTCCCTCTTTCCAGATTACTACTACTGTTTAAAAAAAAAAGCTTGATCAAAGGACCGGAAGGCCTGGTCCTAGTGTGGCCGCTTTAGTTTCTTAAACTGGATTTGCTTTGGTAAAATTAATACAGCCGAACTTATCCCAGTCAAGTCATATTTCATATTGAGCCTATAAGAAACATTAGCAAGCAATAACGTTCACAGGAACTGTAAACACATTTATATCAATGGATCAAGAACTCATGCTGCCAAGTTAGTGTCTCTGGAAAATATGTGGGTGTAGCCACATGCTTTTCACTGCCAGGTACACCCTAAGTTTCCACCCAAAAGACTGTGGTCTCCAAAACGAATGGTTCAGTTGGATAACATGACCAACATTCAATATTCGGAACAGCTTAAATTTATGTATGGAAAAGCCTCTGAATTTGCAAGGTAGTTGGGAGATGGAATCTGCCAAATATAGTTATGTCGAGGAAAGCCTTGACAAAGAGCTACGGGTAAAAAATCTTTGACTTTCCTTTACATTATAATGGTCCTAATACCTTAATGAAATGTTAAAGATTTCACTCTAAACACATTTGTTTTGGTTGACTTCCAGTTATTTTTGGCAAAATAATGAACTTCGTTTGAGGGTGGCGTTTTACGACATCAGTACCGGCAAGTTTTGTTTATCCACACTCTCTTTTTCAATGAATGAAAATACAGATCTATGCATTTAAACAGCAGTATCGTAAATACCTGTACTGGAGATCGTGGAATGATGGGCACTTGACATAATATTGGGGAATTTTTTCTCTCCTTGTCTCCCATCAATTTTAGGAAGTCGACTTGCAGATCACTCGGGTCCTTAATACTAACACGCAGACTCGCCAGAAAATGTTCGCTACCAAGAAACCTCGCATAAAAAAGGAACAAAAGTTTGGATGAATAACAACTTTTTCCATAGGTTTCAAGTATAGCGGATTTAGCAAATCACTTGAGTCTGCATCTTGGTGAGCGGCAAAAAACAATCTTAAAGTTATTTTAGCTTTTTCTCGGTTGAACTTAATGAAGGAACAACATACTTAAGGAACTTAGTTAACTTTAGAGTACTGAAGTGTAAATTTCTCTAAGATTTTGAGCTTTCTTAAGGTAAGAAGTTGGAATGGATAATTTAAATCCATTCGTGTAACAGACTTGTTTTCTTAAGCTAGGAGACAAAGGGACAGTGCCGCTTACTCAACCCGAATGATGAGAATGGAACGATAAAACGTAAAAGGGCTGGCACTTACTTTAAGACGATGTCCTCTACATTTCTCGCTCCTTGCACTTCAAATCCACTTGAAAGGGACACACATGTCTCATCACCGCTAGACAGAGGTTTCTGCGAGGTTCCTTCTCCTTGCATATTCACACAATATTCTGAAGAAATATTGCTATTCACTTTGGACCTTAAATGCTGCGGGAAACAAAACATATACAGCACGTATCTCGCGGGTACTGCATCACTGCATAAGCAAGCTAAAAACCCAGCATGTCGTTTCATGATTCCATCGTATAGGAGCGTGGCATATTTCCATGGAGTGCTGACGAACGTCTTCAACAACCAGGGCCAAAACCTAAAAGAAAACGGCAGGAAAATCTACACTTCGTGTACCAAAAAGACACGTTTTAAGATGCGCATCTACACTTATTAGAAATTATGTTAGCCTCTTGAGAAGAAAAATTTGCTGGAGGAAATAATCTCTCGTCAAGTACCATGACACTTTTTAAGTATCCACCCAAGTCAGTTACCTTGCTCAAAATTAATCAACACGACCGGTTTTTGGACTTAGCAAGAAAGAAACTTTTTTCAATCTGAACTTTTTATCTTAAAGTCAGCTCGAATAACTTGGGGAAGCTCGAGAGATGCACCAAATATTGAGAGAGGAGGAGGGGGAGAAAAACGCCGAGTAGAGGGGGGGGGGGGGGTAACAGGTAACTCTTGTGAGTAAAGTAACTCACTTGTGGAAATCGTTGCGTGTGAAAACAACAGATTTTAAACGTTTGAATTTGAATTATACTGTGCAGCAGAACAAAAGCTCATTTGGGGAGCAGTCTTTGCAATAAAACTGGCGTCAAGTATCCTTCTTGTCCAACTTCCTGGATGTTTCTTATTTTTTAACTACCCTATTCACTCGCCAGTGGAATAAAAATATCTCAAAAATCAGGCGTATAATTTGGAAATGGTCCTCACGGCCTATAATTTTTAGTAGCTCGCAATATAAATCGTTTGTGTTATCTTTACCACTTTGTGTAAATTGATTTATGTTACCTTTCAGTGCTCTTTTGCATTCATTGTCACATTCAAACCCAAGAACTGACGAAATTAGGAGATTCACAACAATTGCAAAGCGGACTTCTGGTTTCTAAAACTAATGGTTTTCTTCAAGAAATATAAACAAAGTAAATAATGAAAAATGTACACAGTTTATAGAGTAAAAATGTGGTCTACACCTTTATCTTACCGGCAGAAAGTTTTGACTTGAAACGTCAGTATTCCATCTCTAAGGACTACAGGCATATCCAAATGATCTGTGATATCCGTCCATTCTTGTGATTCCTCTCTCGAGTTGAAATGTAGTATCTTCACCTGACCTGAATGCAGCTCCGCTAGTTCTATTTCACCGTCCGTGAGTGACAACGGGAGGCTGATTTTCGCTGGCACTGACAGCTCTACATTGTTTGAGCACGAAATGTGAAGAATCGGACCAACAAGCATTCCTTCCACATTGTGGTCAATGGTTGGCGCTTCTTGCACCTCAAATTAAGAGAGCCAAAACAATCATATCACAAAATTTATGATAACACAAGGTACTCTTGTTAGCTACCAGTAGTTTCCCAAATGAAATGAGGACGTTGAATAGATTTGTTAGCTACCAGTAGTTTCCCAAATGGATTGAGGATGTTGAATAGATTTTATTAAAAATTCTTTTTCAGCTAAAATCTATGCACTCACACTAACATGATAGTTTTCAAAAAATCTGTTATTGACCGTAATTTAGGTCAAAGCATTTGATTTTATATCAAGGTAATACCCTCTCGGCAATAATTTGTTTTTTTTGTTTTTAACCTTAAAGTCTTATGAAACAAGTGATAGATATTGTAATAGTGGTTTAAATGATAAGAATAATGATGACAATAAATGCCATAATCACTCTCATCATCATTTTAATTATTTCTTACAAATGCAACATCGGGTACAAATACCTTTAGAGTTAAAGAAAAGTCTGTATCGACAGGCAAAGAATTCCATGGAATCGCAACACTAACATTTGGATAGTCTGGCAGTGAACAGATAAACTCAGAGGTCTTAGACGTAGGCTTAGGAAAGACAAAAGACTTGAGGCGCCAGACTGCTGCAAACGAGGAAAACCACCTTTTCGAGCACGAAGCTTTAGCGGAAGGGCACGTCCAATTGGGGATGGTTGGATGTACTGTAATATAATAACATTATTAGTAATGCTGTAATAGATATCATTAGTTATGGTTATTACTTAAATCTTTCTCACAGAGCGGTCTGTGTAAGAGAATCTCGACCAATACATAAAGATACTGTTAATAACGTTCCTGTAGGTATAATCCGTTTCAATTATTACTCAGTAGTCCCTATTAACCAAGCTGGAGGTCTGTATGGGAGAACTTCCATGTTGTCATTCTAATCCATTCTAAGTTTTGCTCGAGAACACACCACCATAAAACTGTAAATGTCGATCTGGAATTACGTGCGCTAACCACTAGGCCGGCTCCCCATCTCCCTTAAATGATCCTAACTAGGGATTGGGAAATTAGCAAGAAGTATATGGAATGATACTTGTGTATGGATCTCATCGGTAAAATTTATTATTTCAGTACCTGACGAATGCCAAATGTTTTTTGTCTCCAAATCCTCCCACTCGTTGTATTCGGGGTCAACCAACTGCTTTATAACCACCTCGTACCCTTTGGAGTTAGAGGCACTGTGCAACAAAGCTACATTTATGCTTCCCGAAGCATTTTCCATGAATTCCAGATCAGGTGGGCCATCATGAGACAGTTCAATCACATTGCTTACCAAGAGCTCATTACTACCAATGGGCGGAGAAAGGGCTGCGGGGGTCCATAATGAACATGTTATGGTCAAGGATTTTGTTATCGCTCCAAGGTTAAATGTGATGGATGCACCAGCTTCTTCAAGATTCCAAGTCTCTGACTCGTCTGCAATTTTACCTCTGAAATAATCACAAAATTACATTTATCAAGCTTTTGTTTGAGTGAAAACGCTTATCATGTTTCCTCTTGAATGTAAAGTGAGTTTCTCTTTCAAGACGGTTTTGCAGCTCTTTAAACTCGGTCTCATCAACTTCAGTGATGGGCTATCTTTATTAATTGGTTGTCTGTATCTTACTCCATCGGCGAAAAGCTTATGCATAACGTAACATTCTGATATTTTATGCTCGAGGGTTGACATTCCGGATGTGATGTCACTATCAAATAACCAAATCACGAAGATGCAGTCTACTTCGTTGGGCAAGGCCAAAACGGCGTCTTTTATACCTTTTTTGCGGGTGAATATGCGACAGAATCGGCTTTTTTTGAACAGTTATTAGCCCTCTGCAGGAACGCTAAACTATAAAAATACTGAAGTTAAAGAATAAATTATAAGCAACCTAAGACTACACTTTCTATAGGTCTATCGTTGTATAAATAACGAAGGACGGATATTGGGGAAGAACTTAAAAATGCTTTAGATCACCGGACTATAGCCAATACAACGCTTCCGAATGTCGCAAATTGAGAGTACCTAATTCAGTGAAGCAACGATTCTTCTAATTAAGTGTGGACTTACTTTTATGGAATAAATTGTAGGTTTTTGAGTAATTGTAGTGCAAATTGTATCTAAGCTATCTCATCAAGTAAGAGAATCTATAACATTCTATACTAAAGTTCACACAGCAACCAGGTGGACAATCAGACATAGCTTAATGCCACTCTGGTTAGCAGATTTAATGAATGTAACCGAAGAAGTTACAATTCATAGACCCAACGTTTCGACACTCCTGTCTAGTGCCTTCATCAGGGGTGATCTAAACGCTGCAACAATAGGTCCTTTTATACGATCACTAATTAGCGGCCTTTATTTTTTTCTGACGAGGTGTAAATAGGCGTCAGGAAGCAAACCGCCATCGTCACGATTTAAAGGAGCGTGGGCGGAGTTAATATGCCAAGCCTCCAAACAAAGGCGCTAGTGGTAACGCCGATTAGTGGTGATAATTTTAGAATTATCCCACCCAATTGTATGGTTAGTTAGGCATATATGCTCCGATAAAGCTGAATTTTCCTAATGCAAAGGAAAACCGCTTTTTGGTGCTCTTTTAACTGTGTACCAAACTGACGTTTGGTCTGTCCGATGTATTCGTTGTCACAGTCATTGCAAGGAATAGAATAAATGGCGTCGGTTCGTTGTTCTTTCGTGACAGGATCCTTAGGTTTGGCGAAAATATGCCCCAAAGTCTGAAAAGGTTTTTGAGCAACTTTAACTTTGTGGCTATTCAAAATTCTCTTGATGGGTTCCGTAACACCCTGTATGTAAGGAATAACAGCAAAACCAGTCGCTGGTTTCCTTTCATCAAGAGCGTTACTATTTGTAAAATAGTAACGCTCTTGACGCTCTCGTAAAACGTAAAAAAAACGCTCTTGTAAAAAACGCTCTTGTAAAATAGCAACGCAAAAACCAGTTACAAATAGTAACGCTCTTGATGAAAGGAAACCAGCGACTGGTTTTGCTGTTATTCCTTACAAATGCAAACCAGAGTAGCATCAAACTATGTCCAATAACATTCCATTTAAAATTTATGAACAACATTCAAAATAGCCTTTCTTTTCTTTAGCCCGAAATTTTCAATTTTGCATGTGACCATCATGGTTCATTCTACTCAGGGAAAGTTTTTCTTTTATTAAGCTCAGCTTAATATGATTGTTATGTCGCTAATGTGCATTGCACGCAAATTTTCGCAAATCATGTTAACCCTTTACACCCTGACATCATGCAGTTTGTATTTTCTACAAACTACTCTGAAAACATTTCTTAAGGTGCTGACGAGGAGAAGTCTTTTGACAACCTAGAGCTGCATTGGAGGGTGATAATTTTTTTCATTTTCCTGAACGTAAAGTTTGATTCAGGGGTGATGTTGTGAGGAGGAATTGCATAGTAGCCACCCCTAGGGCTAGATGTATGATTTATTAATTATATATATATATATATATATATGTTTCCACTAACGTGGAATAACAAAACATCTACACGCAAATTAACTGCACCTCTTGATGACAGTCTTTCTTTCATCCACTTTTCTTGCAGCCTCCTCCTTCTGGCGACCGTCTTGATCAGTTGATCTGGAGGAAAATTCTTCTACCTCAAGTGACTTCTCTTCTTCTGGAGCTATGTGATTAGACAAAAAAAGGCATGTTCTTTCCCAACCCAGGATAGATTTGTAATAAGTCGTTTAGCAACCAAGGTAACTGATGAGATAATTGAACATAGGATAGTTTGGTGTCATCAACCGAACTGATAATGTAAAGTGGCCACCGTAGTGGGATTCTGGAGCTGGCTTCAGCCTCTGTCAGAGCGATTTACTCTGACGAGGGCTAAGCTTCTCAAATGTTCTTCCAATATCTTCCAAGCGGGTTTATCATGTTATACAACGCAGGAAAATGTGTTATATTGCTTTTATGAAGTAACTATCAGCAAGGTTTAACTGCGAAAAGAGTAAATTTATGATCGATTTTGTGATCAAGTAAATGATTTTCAATACAACCCTCAAAAAGCGCGAGAGACCAATCAAGGCGCCTGAAAGAAAATTTACAATCCGCAAGGACAACAATATTAACAACTGAACAATTTAATGGATGAGCAGGAAACATGAAGGAAAATTAAGAGAAATCGTGGCAAAGAAAACGACGCCTCACGCAATGCGTTTCTCTTGAAGGGTACTTCAATTTCAACGCAGGAAACGCGTTTTTTTATCTAAACTGCTTTTATTGCCTCTGTTTCAATAGGAGCTTACAAAAACATCAAAATTAATAGCAAGCTCTTCAACGCTTAGATATAGCGAACACTTTTAAAACACAAGCTTTCAGCGCGCATGCTACATGAAGAGATCATAAACTCCAAATTGCATATTGAATGTATGAAGCTATGTTGATTGAAGGCACTCTGGTTCGGTTTTCGTTCCGATTGTAAATAAGACCTTTTGGAAAATTTTTGAAAGAAAGTGCCTTGCTATAGATATAATCGAAACCATTAATACTTAATCAGAAGTTTTGAGAAATAACTCAGATCTCAGAAGACATCAAATGTGGTATTTTAACCCAACCACTTTTTGTTTGTTATCTTACTCTAAAGTCATCGGTTTCACTGAATTATAATTCTGATTTTTTTGCCAAAAAAAGTTGAATCAACACCTATTTACCACGCGAAGCGTGGTAACGAGTACTGATGCCGCTGAGGAGTCTGGGGAGAGTAAACATTTTATTAAATATGGCGGACTGCAAGACAATTGTGAGGATTAGTAGCGGAGGACTTTAGAGGGGATGACTGCTAATTTCGGGCCAAACATGTACTACGGAATGTATGTATGAAATCTAGGACTAAGCATACCAGTGAAAACAATTAAGATGTGGGCTCGAAGGAAACAAATCATCCTAAAACATAAACAGACGACCTTCGAAATGAAAGCTAAAACGTGGCGGAATAAGAATGGCTTCGAGACCTGGTACCAGACAGCAGTCATTTGTATTACTCTTGCCCAATAAGTGTTATGAATAATTATCACATGAACACAGTTATCCCTTAAAATTATGATTGGAACTATTTGTTTCGTTACGTTACGTTTAAGTGTTGCATTGGGCTTACTGTAACTTGCGAAACGAAACGAAACGAAGCAGATTGGAAATATGTTATTTTGAAAAATTCGGAAATCTTTGAAATGGAAATCTGTAATTTTTTATATGAGGAATCTGTAATTTGCGAAATGAAAGTCTAATTTGTGAAACGAGAAGCCGTGCGGAAAATTCCATCGGCTGGAAAAGCGTGGATAGAAATTTCTTACACAACTTGTGTAATGAGTAATAATGCAAAAATTGTATTTTTTTGATACTTTCAAAATTGTTCGACAAAAGTTTAAGCGAAAAGTAGCCGCAGTTCAACCCTTTTGATTACTTATTGTGATCTGTATACACATGTAGCTATGAAATCCTCTTCAGCTCTACATAACTTCAATTTGGATTGTACATGTATACTAGTATTCTAGCTAGAAAAGATTTAGACCTAGAAACAATTAATGTACCTTTACATATTGGTTAAAAGCATTGAAATATGTCAAACAACTGTAAGGTTTAGTACCTTTTGAGTGTGATGTCATCTCTGGAACTCTCCCATCTTTTACAGCCTGAAAAATTCAAAGTATGGTATAAACACAAAGTAGGTAACTTTCGTGGTTAGTGTTGTGTCAGTTAATATAATCTATCAAATGTTTCTGCCTGCGCACAATTGGCTTAATTGCATCTCAAGGATTCGTTTAAAATTTGATTGGAGATGAGAGAAGGGACATGTTTGTTTGTTTACCAAGTCATACCTTAGGACACTGAAAATTAAACATCCCCAAACAGTAAATTGTTCACAAAAATTTTATCCATACATTGCAAAAATATTTGAAGAGTAATAAAGATGATAGCCTCCATTTGGCATGAAAATATACTTGTATATTTGTCCTTGGACCTCATTGTTCCTCAGAGCTCACAGTTTTCCTCAAGCTTCATTCTTTCAGAACTGTTTACATCCCAGAACAGGTAATGTCTGTAGACAAGTATCCTTGCATATTTTCAGTCAGAATAGAGGCTATTGTTTATATAACAATATACAACAAAATGAATAGGATATACATATTTATTACATCCATTTTGAAATCACTTGTGATCTGTGCAATTTGATTGGCTGTCACTGGTGTGATTTATTCACATATTGCACTATTTTATGCTCTAAATCGCATCTTTTTCTTAGCCAGTGAGACAGCCTTACTAAAACACATTAACCAACCAAGTTTCAAGGCTTGATTTAAAAAAGGTCAATCATATTGCAGGAAAATGAGTGACAACAACTTTTTACAAATCAGCACAGACTCAAAAAAATATATTGAGAGAAGTGGTATTTGAACTATGTGTTGTAGAATTTTGTTCTGAAATCCTACTTTTGATTCCAAAATTTAATCAAACTTGTGCTGTGCACTCATTCAATTTTGTATGGTTTCAGACCAAATTACACTCCACTCAGTTCAATTACCTTTATAAATATTCATATACATTTAAATGTAGTATAACTACATGAACAAGATGATATTGACACTGCAAAGATAGGAGTGCCAGTGGATTCTACATATCCAATCACAAATGATGGGACTCTAACAAATATTTGTTGTCAAAGAAAATCAAATCATGTCATTCTGAGACCTCATGACCTCAGAACATATCATGAAAATCGCTGTTTTCGTGGCTATGAAAAATAGGTTCAAGTGTTTTTTTTTTTTTTTGAAAGAAGTGTTCATACAATTATAATTTTTTATAAGAGGTTTATAGTGGGTGTGAATGCAATCAATTATCAGTTAATTTACCAGTAATTTTTTTTGCAATGACCTTGACTTCATGTGGTGCTTAAATTGCCCATGCTGATGTCATTTTATGTTGAAGCACTGAAATTAATGTTACTGAAAAGTCTTTGGTTATCACATTGTAACTGATCTAAAAAAGCTAAGTTACTTTGTGGTTTTCCTACTTTGTCATGATGAAAGGTTAACCCTTTAACTCCCAAGATCTCTTTCATAATTCTCCTTAATGTCTGCCATTTAGCTCTTGTGATGTTAGTTTGGAGAATTTGGTATTGGATCAACTAATAATCCCCTAATCAATAATTTTTTCTATTCTCATCACTTGTCTCCCTGATATTGTGTAGATATTGTAAGGTAAAATTCTGTCTTGGTCACTCATGGGAGTTAAAGGGTTACCCTTTAACTCCCAGATCAAATTTGTAATTCTCCTTATTGTCAACCACACAGTTCATATAATGTTAGTTCAGAGAATTTAATATTGGATCATTTAATTATCCCCAAATTGATATTTTTCTTTGTTCTCATCTCTTACCTGGTTGATATAGTATTGATATTGTAAGGAGAAATTCTGTCTTGGTCACTCATAGGAGTTAAAGGGTTAATGTATTAATACTGTGTCAGTGTAGATAATGTAGAATATGATCTGGAAAATTCTGTAATGTTCTATTGTTTACCATGTTACGTATACCATAAGTCATGCACTTAGTTAACAAATTGAATGCAAGCTGATTTAAAGATAGGATATCATGAAATCGTATGAAATGTTATACAATGTTTAGCATTTGTACATACATGTAAGGGGAGCTTATAACAAGCTGTTGTTGTTACCACTTGATAAATTGGCAATAAAGCTTCTTGTTGCAGACTACAAGTGACTGCGAAAGAAACTTTTAGTAGAGTATGCAGGTAATTTTTGTGATAGGAGATGGATCAAATATGCTGCAAAAATAAACTTGTAATCAGTATGGTAGTTCTTAAAGAAACAATGTAAGTTAAAACCATCACACCTGTAATTCATTTGTGTATAGTTCCTCCCGTTTGTTATCCTGAAGTTGATGACAAAGGTGTATCATTTGGTTGAGAAGCTTGGTCATTTCTTCCAACATGTAGTGAAGTGTATCACTTTCAGTTTCCAGGTCACAGTCCTTTTGAAGTTCTTCCTTGGTGGCATTGTACATACCCTCATAGAACCAAAGCTGTTCTTTTTGCAATTCATACTTGTCATTCTCATCACTGACAAGATCCATCAAGGTATCAATAATGTCCTTGTTAGAATCAATAAAAGCAAATCGTGGAGACTTTTTCTTTTCTATCCAAAACTGTTTACAAAACTTCAAAGCATCTTTTCTAAATGTTTGTTTCTTTTCTCCATTCTTCAAAAAGTCACACATGTCCTCCACACCAGTGATAATTTTTTGCCACACCTCACTGTGGTTGCCAACATCAAGTGACTTCTCCATCTCCCATGCTTCGAGGTAAAGTTTCAAGGCTCCCTCATAATCTCGCAAGCAGTGCTGAAGGATAGCTCGTTGGAAAATGCTGCGCACAGTAAGTGGGTGATTTTTGAGAAGTTTCTTCCTAATGTTGTAAGCACGCATTGCAGGTTCAGCTGCTTCTGAATATTTCCCCTGCCACAGAAGGGCATTGGCAATTTCTCTGCAAAAGTGCGCTTCATCGCCTAAACCTGAAAGATTGAGTTCTTCCAGAAGTCTCAATGCATCTCTGTAATATTCAACCGCCTTGTCATACTTTTGGAGACCCTCATATGCTGTGCCAATTTGGTGCTTGTACATTGGCATATCAACATGATACTCAGAACCAGCCAATTTCTTTTGCATGTTGTAAGCTTTTTCATAGAACTCAAGTGCTTCCATTGGCTGGTTAAGGCGGGAGTAACAATTTCCAACAGCATTGTAGCACCTTGCCAAATCTGTATGCTCTTTTAGCAGCTCCTCTGAGAATGTCAAGGACAACTGCAAGCTTTCAAGAGCTTTCTTGTAATCAATGTTTCTCCAAAGGATTTCACCTTCAGTGTGCAAGTAAAGGGCTTTAGTGAGCTTGAAAATGTCAGTGGATTGATCTTCAACTTTCTCCATTGAACCCAAAGCATCCTTCAGTACTTCAAATCCTTTCTCTGTTCCATGAATGTCTGCAACTTGCAAGGCTTCCCAGCACTTAAGCTGTGTTCTACCAAGAGAACCTATTACATAAAAATCTTATTGAGAATTGCATTCATTCTTAATGATTAGAGCATTTTTCAATTGAATGTTTTAAACCCAAAACCAAGGTAATTACCATGGCCAGTTAGGAGAAAGGCAAACACCTTTGAAAGCCAACTAAACTAAAACCAACCAAACACCTAAAGTGCGGGATAATGGAAGCAACCAAGTTGTGATTGGTTTAGCTTTTGCATCTGATTGGTTTAGAAAGTGCAGGTGCAAGAAACTTATGCAGCTGCAAGATTTCTGGACCGATCACAGAGTAAAGTAAGCAAAATTAAAACAATCCAGAATTGCCCTCCACACTCATGGAAAATTTCTCTAGATCATGGCTATTACTTTTAATTTGTTTGTTAAACAACTTTAACTCCCAAGTTTTGATTGTTAATTATCTTCTTTAGGTACTAATATAAACATCTCCTTCCAAATTAGTCATGAGAATTTGTTGTTAGCTGACAAGATAACTTTTATCTGATAAGTTTTTGTAGTCTTATTACCTGTATGCTTGAACATGTATTGATATTATGGGGAGAAGTTACATGTTTACCATTACTGAGAGTTAAAGGGTAAATGTATCATTTACGTTTTTTGTTTGTTTCTTGTGTTTGCCTTTGCTTTATGAGTCCAATTGCATCTTAGATACTTCTAATTCTAAACAAATGATTTTGTCATTGGCAGCATGCTATCTCTGTCTAAACTATACATAGTGTTGTAAATAGTTCGGATAATTAACATATTATAAATGTTCAGACACTAATGACCATAATATTGGAATTAGAAAAACAATAGAAAGCAAAAAAAGAGAAAAAAAATCAAATTGTTACAAAAGGAATACCAAATGAACATAAAGTGATATGAATTCCCAGCTGGTGAGAAGTAATCTGGTTGCCCTTTTAGAACAGATTTCAATAACAAATCTGGTAAGTAGCAGATATCATACTTTAATCTGATACCATCACTTTACATTAAGTCCACCAGTTTGACCACTTCACCTCGGTGCTGCCTCCTGTCTTTCATGTGTTAACAGCTATGGTACTGGTTATAAGCTTGAAGTTTTATAAGCACTAAAATAGATGAATTGTAACCAAAATTTTAAAATAAATTTTATAACTCTGGAATAAAAACATTCCACTTCCGATAAGCACATAGTACCACAATGAATGCTTAATTTAAATGGTAGTCAGAAGTTTTAACTTTTAACTCAAATGGGGCAGATGAGTGTACTCTTCAAGTCTTTACAACTTCAGCAACTTAGAAACACAAAATCTACCCATTCATTCCAATCTCTGACACTGCAAGATGCATTACATTCACATTTAAGTTGTTCAAGAAATATAAGTAAAAAAAATTTTACTTTTAGTGTCAGCTCTCTCAGAAGGATAAACATTTTAAGTTACTATGAGTTTTATTATTTTTTTATTTTTTTGACCATTGAATCTAAATTATTTGGTTTATAGTTATGAGGTAAGAGGATTTACTAGCTAAAGGATGGACTAGTCTTTAACTTGATGCTTTAAAGCAGATAACAAATATCTAAAATGACAGGACCAATTGTCATCACAACTCTACTTTTTTTTAGTTTTTGAAAAATTGAATCTATAAATTATTTTATTTTGTTATGAGGTAACAGGATGTACTGGTAAAAGGAAGGACTAGGCTTTAACATAACCCATTAACTACCATGAGTGACGAAGACAGAATTTCTCCTTACAATATCAAGACAATATCAAGGAGACAAGCAATGAGAATAAAGAACTATTTCAATTAGGGGATTATTAGTTGATCCAGTGCCAAATTCTCTGAACTATAACATCACAAGAATTATATAGCAGACAGTAATGAGAATTACTAATAAGATCTTGGGAGTTAAAGGGTCTATGCTTTCAAGCAAATTATATGTTTGTATGTATCTAGCCCAATGGAACCAATTGTCATGGCAACTCTACTTTTCAACAGCTGCATTTAAGTGCAACAAATAAATTAACTCATTTTTCCCTATGAGTGACTAACATCTAATTTTCCCCTAAAGCATCACACTTGTGTTTCCCTGGCTAAAGAAGCTCTTGATTGTAAAAAATTCTCCTCCTCAGGATCTTAGAAAATATTAAGAGAACAGTATGGAGAATATACATACTGATGTTAGGGTGTAAAAGGTAAACCCTTTAATCCTCACAAGTGATTAACATGAAACTTCTCCCTATAATATCCATACAATATTCAGGAAACAGGTAATGAGAATATTCAAACCTAACAGGTAGAAGCTGCTATCTTGATCTAGCACTAAGTTCTCATAACTAATTCACAAGGAAATATTTAGCAGCTAAAGGGGAGAATTAAACATCAGATCTTGGGAGTTAAAGGTTAAAACATGAATCATATCTGTCAGCAGAACATGATTATGAATTGTTGCATTATTATTAAAGCTGAAATACTTAATTCCACTTTTAGGAGTGGAAATATTCTTCCAATTGTTAATTTTACCCATGTCTATGAGCTACTGATATGACTCTTGACAAAATGTCTCCTAGACAATATGAGAATCATTATTCAATTTCTTCCAATTAAATATGACACAAAAGACAAGCATTAGGACAGTCAGATCCATTATGACCCTTACCTGATTTTCCATCATCTTCACACATCTCAGCCCAGGAATGAAACAGGGTAACTACTTTGCGTTCAGTCAGCATTGCTATGAAAAGTGATGCAATCAAAGCATTCTCATGAAATTCACCTGGAACTTTGAAATATTCTGGTTGTAAGGAGATCTCAAGAACAAACTCATAATTTGCCCTGTCAGTGTCAAACAAATGAAATGCTTTGACATACTCGGGATCTATAAGTTTCGCTATTTTCTTCATCCTGGACATAAAGAGTTCGTAATAGCGTCCCTTTGCTTTCATGTAGGCTGCGGAAAAGTGTTCGTCACTCTTGATACTGTCAGCATACTTTTGTAAGAGTGGATGAATGTCATATTTCCTCTCTTTTGCTTCTTCATCGACTACAGAAATTATTGCACTGGCCACAAGACCCTCTAGCTGTGCAAGAGCCTCTGATTGGTCAATACCGAGAACTTCGGAAGCTGTTGCCACAGAGAATGGCCCATGAAACAAGGAAATTACAACTGCAGTCACTTTTAAACGGTCACTTGGAAGTGTAGCAAACATTTCTCTAATTACAGATATCTGACCTGCATCAACTCCTTCTTCTTCAAAACTAACTGACATTTGTTCAGCATCCTCGTGCACTTTTGATTTCTTCGGAGTAGCAGCAACTTCAGCAATAAGGTCATCGGCAGATTTTCTTTCCTGGCGCAAAATAGCACCCATTCCTTTGAGAACAATTGGGAATCCTTTGGAGATGCCGATTAGATTATCTTTCTGGTGGACTTGAACACCAGTTGATCCCGCAGGAAAAAGAATTTTCTCTGAAGATGACGTTTTTAGAGACTTCACTTTAAAATTATCCACCAGTTTGGCATTTGTGAACTCAATCCTCGATGTGAACAGCAGCTTTAATGCACATCTTTCTCCTTTGCCATCAAGTTCGAAAAGTTGTTCGAGGAACTGTACAAAGTCTTTTTTTAGGCTCTTCCTATCCATTTCTTGTCCTGTGGCAAACCGGTCCACATTATCGAGCAAGAACAGAACGGAATGCCCCCCACTTTTCAAATCTTTGATCTTATCGTGAACTTTTTTTACAACATAGTTCAGGTTCACGAAACCGACTGGAACAGAAAGGTCAAGGGAACTAAGGATGTGGTAATACATCGCTTTTATACTCTTAACTTCTCTAAGATCAAAGACTCGATAATTTCCTCGCCACTGTGAGCAAACTTCGTTGGCGAGTCTTGTCTTTCCAACACCGGAAGACCCAAACAAGTTTAAAACTGGGACCTCTTTTGACTCCAGTTTTTCGGTGATCTCCTTAATGTCATCGTCCCGCCCTTGAAATTCCTCCTCTTTAACAGCTGGACGAGAGGCCTTGAACTTCCTTATAGCTTCTTTGATCAGTTCTTCTTTGCTCGATTTCGGAGCAACGTAGTCTTCGATTAATTTCACTTTGCCTCCAGACACATAGCCATGCTTCGCAAGAAGTTGTAAACATTGCAATAAATCTTGACTTCTTAGCGAATTAAATTTGCCTCCATAATTATTTTTCAAAGATTGCACAACATTTTCCGACTCTAGGCGGTCAAACTTCGGAGATATGTCTTTGAACAGATGTTGTAAATGCAGACGGCTCTCTATAGCGACGGCCGCCATCTTAATTTGATTGCGGCTAAACATAGACAGCTCTTTCATTATGTCACGCGATCTCCTCACGCAAACGAAAGTGACACGAAACCATGACGACATGGTGGCGTCTAAGATTTCGATAACGATTGATTGCTGCCTGATGACGATATAACTATTCACTATGGTTCCATAACTCGCCCTTTTTAGTTATTTTGTTTTCATTGATGCATTTATCTACTCTTTTTGGCACTGAAATTAATCCACCGCGGGCACAAGAGATCAGAAAGATGATACACGTCATATATATTTCGCCTAGATACTCAATATCCTGCTTTAAGGCACCACTTTTTTAATCTAAAAATTATATCTTTTCTTTTTCAAAAGTATAATGCTGAACAAATCACCCATTTGTCGAAAAAAAAAAAAAAAAACAAATGCGGTGAGAATGTTTTAAGTAAGCATTATTTTAAAAGTGTCTAACATTCATTATCTTTCTTATAGGGACTGAAAACACTCACAAAAGATCGCATTCCCATCTAATACAAAGGGAATCTTGAGGCATTGAAATATGGAACGAATCTTTCCCAAAGGAATGTCTCTGACTAGCGTGCCTTTTTAAGCCCAAAGGAAAAAAACACTTTATATTGTAAATTCCCAACGCAACGGAAGTAAGCCTCTCGGCTAAATTTTTCTTGGTTCTCCCGGTACCTTGTAAGTTATCACTTCTGACTTAAAACTATAACAATTTAAAGACAAGGAACCTGCATAAAACCAAGAAACTTTAATTCGCGTTCCTCCTGAAGAACCTCTGGAACATACCCTTCACCTCTTTTTGTTAGGATTGATTTCAATAACCATTTCAAAGTGGATCTCTGATTGATTGAAAAAGCTTAAATGGGGCTAACTCATGGTTCGTACTCTGCAAATCTGCAAACAACGATAGATTCAGGAGCTTTCACGCTTTGTTACGTTAACAAACTCATTACCTCAAATTTTATAGTTCTTCATGTTAGCATATATACTGCCGGAAATCTTGAGTGCAACAATTGTTGGTCACCAACCTTGTCTGTTTAATGCGTTATCGGAAAGTGAAGCGTTCTCGCCTGAAGAACGGAGACGCGTAACGCCTCTGCGTGTATGATTGATCAGCTCACAACATCGAACCAGGCTAATTTAGGTCTACTGAATAGGAAACGAAGTCCGATTTAGCCCATCTGCTTTCTCCCTCCCTTCCCCCCGAAAAATGAGGCCCACACAGTCTTTTCGTCGTTAGAAGCAAGGTTGTGCGTTCTTCACCAAACATGAGTTATTTGGAATGCAGGGACAGATCAACAGGGAGAGTGTTAGGGAGTCCCAGCTCATCCCCTACCTTCCCTAAGAGACAATACTGTTACTTGTCTGTAACCAAAACTCTTCCAAAGACAGGATCGCATAGTAATATGGCTGTTCTTTAATTTCTTTTTCATTTATTATCTTTTTTTCAGTGGAACACGAGGGTGTCGATACAATGAACCGTCAGGCGTCTTTGGGGGTACCCCCTGTACAATCTTCGTTGTCAAAAACAAGGGAAGGAATCTCCAAGGATGTACCCCCCCTTGCGAGTAAAAAAAAAATTACGAGTGAAAGGGGAGGGAGTGGTCAAGAACTGATTCGCCGCGTTTTCTGAATCAAACGTTGGACCCCGCGTATCAGAAGTCCTTGCAATGAATAGCTGTTTGCTTAATAATGAATGATGGCTTTTACGGCCAACGGTTAGGATTTTGTCCATTTTACGGCTAAAGATGACCTTGCTTTCTTTGGGATTAAAAGAAAAAAAATCACGGTGAACTTTTTCACGACGTATGGTTAAAATTTGTCAATTTTCATGCCTAACGGCTAATTTTTGACCGTTTTTACGACAACCAGTTGATCCCGTTGAAATTCTTAAGAATCTTTGCTTAGCGACGAATATTTGAATGTTGAATAACAATTCGATTGTCAATTAAAATGTGAATGTTAAAAAAGCACACTGTATGGAAAAGAATACGTTTAATAAAAGAAAATTGAATAAATTCATAACACCTAGTTACAAATGAAAAGACCAAATTGAATACAAAACTAGACAAATTGAATATTGCTTAGTGCTACTTGCCGTAGACCTATTTCAAATTTATCATTTTTGAGTGAAAATTCCACAATTTTTTTTTCTCACGATGACAAGGGCAGGAAGGCCAGTTTGCATGAATCTCACAGATTGACAATTAGGCCCACCATTTTTTGAAGGACGCAATAGTTGAGTTTATTTTTTTCATCCGATTTTTACTCTGCATATCACTTAGAATACTATAACATCGATTTGAAAACATCGTCAAAGTGACTTCTTCGATTCCAAGAGCCGTGTTTAAAGCCGTCGTTGACATGCTTGTATGAAAGGCAGAACTAAAGGGGAGAGGGGGCATGGTACGGGGCCAGGTTAGTGCCATCTCGTATTTCTCATCAAATTTTTTTTCACGACTTCAACTTTCGTGCAGAACTAACTTTCTTTTCACGAATTCAACTTTCCAGCACGACTTCAACTATCTTGCACGACTTCAACTTGCTTGCACGACTTCAACTTTTTTCACGACTGTAACTTTTTTCACGACTCAACACTTCAACTTTCCAGCACGACCTAAATATTCCGCTGTCCTAGTGGACCCCCCTAGATTTGGACCCTCCGGTCCAAATCCGCTAGTGGATATGGAACCCCCGTCCAAATCCGCTAACGGATTTGGACCCCCCAACAAAACTGAGTGAAAACATCATCCTTAGCGTTCTAGTAGAAATAGGTAATACTTTACGTTCCAGTGCGCACGAAAGTAAGATTTTAATTCAAAACATGCGTATTGCCAAGCATATACGAACTGGCCTTTATTGAGGAATGTCACATGTGCTGTGATCGAAAAGAACATCACCATCATCCAAAACCGCCAAACCGCTAAAAAATGCAATTAAAACCGAAAACCGCAAGCAAAACCGTCAAAACCGATAAATTTTCACATCCCAGTTATCAAAACCCTAATCAATTTGATGCAAAAGGGGCACACAAAGGTTTTGCGGGTACTCGAGATCAGTGGAGGCACATAATTGCCCGCGCTTAGATCGAAGAGCAACCGGAACCCAAAGAGGATAAACGAAAACCACATCGAATACCAAATTCGAAAATTGGTCAGTATTCTGACGAAAACTGAAACCAAATGCTGAAAATCGGAAAATCCGCAAACAACAATGAACACCAAAACCGCAAAACCGAAAATCCCAATGCCCCCGTCCTAAAGTAGTAGAGAAACTTTTAGATGGTGATAAAAAAAAAAATCAATATTCGTTCCCTTATCGTGCGTGAAATTGACGATATCAAGTCAAAGTTGGATGGAATACCAAGGAGAGATTTATTGGCAAGCATCAGTTTCTTTAAAGAAGGAGTCGATTTGTCAAATGAAGTGTTCAACAAGGCGAAGTTTGGGAGCGGGTATAACGGAGTAACAGCATAAGAGGTTTGTACAGAAACGCTTTCTCTTACTGAAGGAATGAGAAACTTGGGGCTTTATACCTGGATGAATAAGTGACAAGAAAGCTCTGTGAAGCGAAGGAATAATTAAGAGATTCTTAAAGAAAAGCAACATTGCCCTTCAACAATGAAGCTCTAGAAATGTCTGACTGCATTCGAGCAATGCGGTAACGACTGATGATATCAGTATTAGAAAATGTGGACCATTCCACGGATGCTTTGATACGATGCAAATTGTGAATTGATGATTTACAATCTATGACAGCCGTTATAACTATTTTTGATGTTTATTTCAAGAAAGGCATCTTGAGTCATTTCAGTAGAGAAAAAATAAACCAAATCATTTCCACTGTCTGTCACGTGCATGGTGTCATCTACGATGTCACGGTAGCAGCTGGTCAAGGTGTATCTTTCCATCTGCTCTGCTCATGTTGTTGACAGTGGGAAAGAGAAGGTATAATTATTGTCAGACGAAAGGGTAAGCAAAGTTCTGCGTAGGCATGGCATGGAGCATTGTTGCGTTGCATCATAATTATTTGGTCAAGAGAGTGAGGAGGAGCAGAGGCGTAGGTACTAGGTAAGTATCGTTACAAACTCCACAGGGGAATTCATTGTAGGAAATACGTGTGGTAACGTGAAGATGTTTTACAGCAGCTGAATATTTGACAAGGATTCCAGTCTCCCTACCGATGATGTAAATGCACGATCAAATAGTTGGGACGTAGCAATTGACGTGAAAGACAACTTCTTTCTGCTGACTGCTCTGGAGAAGCCCGGGACTGAGAAATCCTGCTGGGTTAAAAGACTTGCTAAAACCGCTGATCTTTATTACAGGTTTTGTCTGAGAGAAGAAGTCGACTGCATAGGACTGTCAGTCAGTGATACATGGACTATACCGGCATTGAAAGCCCCTGCATCATTGGAGGAATATGGCAACGACAGAGAGTTTGTTTGCAGTTAAGGAGAAGGAATACTGAAGAATCCGCTAGATATCACTGTTGCTAATGAAGGCCGTGTTATGGTGGTGGACACAGAAGATTCTTGTGTTCACACTTCAGTGAATACGGCAACCGTCTGAACAAGTTTGAACTGGAACGTTTACAAGGGTATGGTCCGGCTAAGCTTGCATTTCATCGAAAAGGTGCACATGTCATCGTCGTGAGTACTGATGCAGGGAAAGACCTGATAAGTATGGAAATGTACACCAAAGATGATGAGTTGATGCTCATCGCGCAAATCCATCAAGAAGATATCTGAATGGTAGGAGGGATCCCACCGACCATTGATGGACGCATTATTGTCGCTATATGCCCTTACCCAGGGTCTGATAGTTAAGTTTTAGTTTAGACGGCCTTCTACCCATCCAACACCCCCTCCCGTTTTTTGAAATGCTTGACGGCCTTGAAAAACTTCCAGCAAATCCCCTGCTTCCAGGAGCAGTAAGAAAACAATAGGAAACAAGTTGAAGAGGAAAATAGAATATTAGAGAAAAATTTACCTGGCGACGATGGTAACATTTCATCTTTGGAACGAGAGGCTGTTTCACCTCGGAAGAGGTTCCTGCTTCGTAAGAAGTATTCGCTTCAATACTAGCATTGTTTTCAGTTAATTTTTCTTTATCTTCCTTGTTATGGAACTATGGGATTGCCGTCACCTTTTGTCTTCTATGCACTTGTTTACATCGTAATTTTTTCTTTGATACCTACCTGTCTGTACTAATACGTTTGTCATGTTTGTCCGTGACCGAAGTTTTGACGGAAGGAAGTCGTTACCGTGACCAGCGTACGTTATTCGTGCAAAACTTGTAAAATAAACAATACCATTATTTTAGTGAAAAGAGACAAACTTACGCCTTACGATGACCATAGAATTTTTGGCCTTTTGTTTTTTGAAGAAACGTTTAATTTAGAAAATAATCCCTAGAAAAAACTGGATTGGTTAAAAGAGCATTTCTGAGCCTCTAGATTTCAAAATTTTCTGGGGGCATGGGGGCCCCCAGAACCCTCTAGAGGCTCTAAAGTCTGGCTACGGCCATGAAAGTTTAGGAAATGGACTAAGACATAAGTGTAAGATCGGGATCGGGATTGGCCGGTATAAACCGTCGGGATTACGGGATTCAGAGATAATTTTAGTCGGGATCGCGAAATTCAAGAACCCTATTGGGAACCCTCGCAGAATAGAGAGGAACAGAAGAAAATAGTTGGGTAAACATTCAACAAAATTCTTCAGTATTTTTGCTATTTTGTATTTGTGTCGTTTCTGCTGTCATAACTCTAGAAAAGTGAATGTACACCTAATTTCTCTTCTCTAAGTTTTAAATTAAAGAGTTTGTTGCATTGACGTAAACCATCAAGTATTTTTGAGCCTAACCAAGACTGATATAAATGCTGTGAATCTTTTGCGGTTTTTACTTTCTTGTGCTCTAAAAGGGATGATATAGTATTGGTACTTCCAATTACTGTATTGCTACATGTTGTACCGTCATCTATGAATGTATGTCTCTTTTTTCTCTTTCAACCATAATAAAATTATTACTCTATCTTCTGACTTTCTACTTTTACCATATTGCACAAAACACGACTATCATCAACATCTCTTCAACTTCGTTTCACAGGAAACAAATCAAATGTCATAGAAAAATGCGCAGAATTGTTTTTGTGAATGTACCATGAAAGATCTTCTGCCTTGATAATAAACAAGTGTGAAATGTTCTGTAAAAATTCTCACGGATAACAAGGTTTAACTATTTCCAACTAGATTCATCATCATTCTCTCCTCTTGACTTCCAACCTAAAGAATAAGGGGTTCTAAAGGAGCTAATTCTGGTGGGTCAAGTGCAGTTTACATAATATATATAAAATTTAAAACCTGCAAAATTTTTATGCTTATAAAACCTTAACTTTAGAAACATGTTGCCGTAAATATTATTTCCAATTGAAATATTCGGATGAAAAATTCGTTGTTTCTGTCCGTGTAAGAGAGATTTTATTCCTAAAACGGTTATGTTGTCACTATGTTGCCTACTATAGCAGAATTTTTTTGCAGGATATTGAATGAATGGACCAAAACTGATGTTAACTTAAACAAATAGGGTAACCAGGGCGTGAAATTGCGCCTAATACAATTTTTCACTTTGGCGACCAAATCCTGAAAATTGGTTGCCAAAGTGGCGACTAGAAGGTTTCATCATAACCTTACCTAGATATAAAGTGAATTAAAAAGATTTGCAAAGATAAATCCGCGGCAAACTTCCTCATCAAGTTTGTTTCCAAAACACAGCACATGCATCTCGATCGATAACTAGACGCCATCTTGGATTTAGGTGAGTTTGAACGTTGCATATCATCCATCCCAGTGTCCACTTTGTAGCTAGTTAAAGATCTCTTCCCTAACTTAATTTCTAGAACGGTGACAGCGTAAAAAGCAAGTTTTGTTTGTCTTTGAAAACAGCGACCAACTTTTTTTGAATTGGCTACCACTTTGAAGAATTTAGGAGCCAAGTGGCTACCAGAAAAAAAAATTAATTTCACGCCCTGGTAACGATTAGGTGTGGTAACACAGGCATCCTACGTAATTTTCGATAACGTACGAACTATGAAAATTTCCAGAAGCAGCATTTAAAATGCGTTTAACGCTACCGTAAGACATGTTGCAGACCTCTTGTTTGCTGTTTCTGGGAGTTCAACTAGTTATGTAACTGTCTACGGCTTATCTTTCTCCAGCTTATTAGTTCTTTTTGGGAAAAATAATTACCAAAATCTATGCAACTAATTCCCATAAGAAGTGTTAATCGAACTCTTCCATTCATTTCGGCACTTAGAAATTGGCCTATTACATCTTCATTACCAAAAATATCAATGACGTTCTAAGTCCAATATAAACCTTGTTTAAAACTGAAAACGTTACATTAATCCGATACAGCAGGACACTTCAGGAACCAATCCACCCTCTCTGGAGTAGGAGAGAAATGAATGCGGCCAGAAGGCCTCCAACTACGGCCACCACAATGAGTGCATTCCATCTGGTGTTCGTCTTCACTTCTTCCAGTTTTGGACGCAAGAGTTCAGCTAGACAACAAGGAGAACGAATTAATATCATTGAGTTTATTCTAGTCCAGTGGGAGAAAACAATGGAGTGGGAGTAGCAAGTGCGGTTTTGAGGACTTAAAAGGAATTACGACGGTAAAAGACAACGTGAGCTGGTTAATGTATAAAGTGATGGAAAATTTCATGTAACCATGGTTGGAATGGAAATTTTCTTTTTCACTCCAGGTAGAGGGCGCTTGAAGTAAGTAAGTAAAACAAATCTCAATCACTATTGTTACTCCCTTGTGTCACAAAAACAACAGTATGAAAGAATCAGACTGAACAATCTGATTCGTTCTGTGTTGCATGTATCCTTCCTGCCGAACAAACAGACAGAAAACAAACTAGATCATACCATAAACCATGTTTGACATTGTCGCCACAAGGTCTTGACACTGACTCTCCCAGCTGTACTTCTCTTCATAGAATGTCCGTAGTTGTCGAATCTCTTTAAGTCTCAATCGCCGTTCCTTCTGTCGAATGGAATCGATTTTTTATGCCCATTCATTAGCATCCGTAAAGTCTTCTACAATATAAAATTCACCAAATTCCACTTTCTTCAATGCTTCAGCAAATCCCGAGTTTCCACTCACAAGAATGGGAATACCGGCAGATAATGCCTCGAGGGCAGTTAAACCAAACCCTTCTGTTCTTGATGGCATGAGGACGAGATCAAACTCCAGCAACGATTTGATTAAAAATTCCCGATCGTTACAAAACTTTCTTACAGTTAACTGACAATGTGGTATACCAAAACTGACTAAAATATCAACAAGCTCTTTTTGATTGTCAGTGTTTGCACCAATGATGGTAAGGTGATATGATCTATGACGCAAACTAGCCACGGCCTCTGCCGTAATATCATAGCCCTTTATGGGCAAATCCTTTGGATCACAACGGCCAAAAACTAAAATGTAAAAATTCTCCAAGTCAGCCACAGAAGTTTTCGCACACTTAAATTCAGAAAAGACACCTGGTGTTATTGACAATACAGTTTTTTCTTCTTTGCAAGGTCGGAGGGACTTAGCAATAGCTTCCTGTAATTTGGGTCCTATGGTAACAACAAGGTCGGCTTTTTCACACAGGGAAACTTCCGACACATGCTTCTCTTCACCTCTGGAGAGAGGTTTGTCGGAGATTTTGTGCATGGCAAGTTCTTCAGGACATGTGTGAACCATCTGTACCCACTTACAGGAGTGGCTTCTCCTGATTTCCTCTGCCTGCCACCCAAGCTTCCAACTATGACCGATAACCACGTCTATGTGGAGTTTCTCCGGGGGAAACGCCAACCACTCGAGGGGGTTTGTGGAGTTTGACATTCTTCCATCTGCTTCCTTAATATTAATATCACATTTAAAAGCTTCTGCTTTGTCTTTTTCCTTACATTCACATTCAAATGGAGGAGCAAACAAAGTGACTTTTACATTGGGATTTAATGAAAACTGTTTGGCGAGCACTCTGTTTATGGTGGACAAACCACCCTTTGCCGAACACCATTCAGTTGCTAGAAGAGTGACATGTAATTTCTTGCCGTGCTCATGTAGTGAATCTACGTCCACTGAGGATTGAATGTTTCGATTTGACCGAGGCATTTCCTGCAAAACCGCAACAGACAACGGTTAGACTTTGACTCCGAATTTTCCACGAAGGACTGCTTTTATAAAAAGAAAGGTGCCAGAATACCGAAACGGTTACAATTCAATAGCCTTGGTTGAAAATAGAACGAAATAGCCAGTCATACGACTGAAAGACCAACCAAAGGAATAACAGAGGTAAGAATTTAAGGAAGGAGGGGCTGAAGAAAAAAACAACCATATTTATTAAATGAATAAACAAGTAACAAACCTGAGCTCTTTGAATTTCTGACAAGGGAAGGACGACCCCAGATGGATGAGATGCCTGCAAGAGGGAAAAAACACCTAGCTTGAGAACCTCACAGGTAACAATTTAAAAATCTTGTTAATAAGCTGACGTGTAATGCTATCATCTTGGGCTACATCTACGACAGTAAGGTTGGCATCAGTAGTACATTAGCTCTGGGCTAAAAGTACATTTGATTAACAAATCCATAAACCGAAAAATGTCACCTACTTGAGATGCTAATACTATGGTCACGTTGCACAAAAGTTCACGACTTTGGTCGAAAAACTTCACTCCTGGAACACTCTTACTTCCTAAGCAAACTACACCACTTGTGACAAAAACTGTGTCCTCGTGGAATCTGTTCAAAACGAAATGAATTTAAATGAGACAAATTCAACGTACACTACACCAGCCGAGTCTTCGTTCAGAAAAGCACATGCTTTGAAATCTTTTCTCACAATCCAAAATGACAGCACATTTAACGAGAGCCCTACTGAATCTTTAAAAGCGAGCATTTGAAGATAATCACGCCCGAACAAAACCAACTTGTATACCTCCATAGTCCAATTGATTAATAAGAAACCTAGAAAAGCAGTGGCGAAAAATGGTCAACTGACAATCGAACAATGTTCAATTTTACAATGGAATGAATAAATTATTTCTATGTAAAACTACCATGACTGTATCTAGAAGTATTCAACTAAATCCTATGTACTTGATGGGCCAAAAATAAACTATACGATATTATACTTCACAGAGTGTAAGGCGTTTTTCGCGTCTGTGCCTTGGGGTATGATTGCCTGAGAAAGAGACACCAAAATTGTCTCCTTGTCACAAACTGGTTTACGAGAGCTGCCTTCGCCTTTGTAGGGCACGACACACTCTGATATTCGCCGGTTCACCTCATATTGCAGGCTTGGAGGATAGCAGAAAAGTTTGAGTCCAAAATGTCCGGGAACAGAGGTCTTACACAAGCACGTCGAAAATTGGGCAAGGTGAGGCCTAGACCTACTGGGAAGTTTTCCTATAAACTCAGTGAGGCCCGAAGCAGATTGTAAAAGTGATCTGATCAACTTGATTGGACGGAATCTATCAAATATAAGGAAAAACCAAATACACCTTAAGCAACCCAACGGAAATGACTACCAGCCATTGCACAGTAACCTTGAGTCTACGTATGCAAGTGATCATTTCAATTTTTGAATCTATATTTAATTAAAAGAAATACATGCATGTATGACTGTACACTAAAATACTGTTAAATCTCCTCTACGTCTTGCGTACTATTTTCCAATTAAAGCCGGCAAGAAATACTTACCCAGAGAAATGCCTAACTTTGAATTCAACTTTCCCATCTACAAGACGTGCAGGTTCATCTAATTGACCTGTGATGTCTTTCCAGTCATGTGGTTCAACTAGTGATTCACAGTGTAATATCCTCAGTTCACCAGGACATAACTCTGCCAACTCTTGTTTTCCTTTACGGAGGGTGAGAGGAATCCTGATTGTTACAGGCGCGATGAGAGTCACATTTTGAGAGCCTGAAATGTAAAGAACTGGACCGACAAGTCCTCCCTCTCCTTTTAGCTCACTGCTTGGAAATTCTTGTACCTTGAGATCAAAAGCAAAACAAGTTACTCCCAGTTCGAGTTCAACCTCAAAGCCCTCTGTCTGTGCACTGTTCTTAAACTTTTGCAAATTTAGAAAGAGGTGTCTTCTTTTGCAGTTTGTTTAAAAGATTTATAATAAAAAATAATTTAATTTGGATTTTGCATGATATTATAAATTATCAAACTTTATGTCTGTGTTATATTCAGCTTTGGCAGATAAGTCAGACCTCGGTTTTGCTAATTCATCATAATATCATGCTCATCTTCTTTCACTAACTGCATTAACTGCTAACCAATACGAACCACAAAACCAATTTACCTGACAGGAACGACTTCAATTTGAAATTTATATTGAAGCAAAACAAAAACAAATGTTCTGTTTGTTGCTTAAAGTTAGGTCTCGAAAATCTGGTTTTTAAAAAGGGTATTTCCAGGATCCATGAGTACATTCGGGGAAAGTAGAACCACAATTGTTGCAAAGTTACCAAAACGGTTTAATAGAACAATACTACTTGTATCTTCTCACACATGTAACTTAAGCACATGAACAACTGTCCTGTAATTAAGCTTACATTTTTTTAATATTTCTCTTTCCATCAATGTTGCCACTAAGTTAAAGAGGTCTATTGTGAGTAGCTGAGGCCACAGGGTGTACTCTTATAGCACCTTTGCTTTATCTTCGTGTTTTTGACAATCTCTTCACGCCAATCTCATAACACTTATAACACTAAAACTGGAAAATAAAAAACTTGAACTCATATATGTATATAATTATACAGTTCCACGTACCTTGATTGTCACACAGAAATCTTCATCAACAGGAACACAGCTCTGAGGAATTTGAACACTGACATCAGGAAAGTCAGGCACAATACAGGTCAGTTCCGGACCTATTGCAGTACCACTTGAAAAAATGAAAGACTTAGGACGCCAGATTGCAGCAAATGAAGAAACTCCTGATTTTGCACAAACAGCTTGTGCAAATGGGAAAAGCCACCTGGGAACTGTTGAAGTTTCTGCATGAGAATAAAAATAATGGTTGAATTTGCTTCCTTCAACTGTGTTTTGAAATCTTCACACAATAAAGTTGCCACCAACAGATGCCATTATAATAGTTATGCTTCAAAGAATAAAGTTTGCAACAACGTGGTGATTAGGTAAAATTTATATTTTAGTGATTAAAATGCACTTTGGAATCTGGTAACATTTATGCAATAATTACATGTACTAGCTGCTTAGCTGCAACTAAACGGAAAACCAAAATAAAATGTTTTAAAAAGCATTGGATCTGGACATGAAGTGTCAAGAAGCGTATTTTGATATTGTTAGCGCAGTACGTAGGTCATGCATTATAAGGATCAGTGCTAGTATCTGAGTCAGTGCACACCTACTCCTCCTCTCCTAAGCCAACAACAATCAGCTAATAAGTTTGGGTTACAAGTTGGGATTAATTTTGGGCTAGGAGAGGGGGAGGCGCACAATTGCTCAGATACTGACATTGATGCCAGTGAGGAAGGGAGCCTGAGAACATCATTCACTAATTCGTTCACACCTACATTTCATAACAACATTACAGTACCTGATCCATGCCATGTATTCTCTGTCTTCAATTCCTTCCATTCATTGTTCTCTTGGTCAGTCAGTTGCTTGATAACCACCTCATACCCCTCCAAATATGGGGCACTGTGCAACAAAGCTACATTAAAACTGATTCCTTCAAAATTTTCCCTGTACTCCAGATTTGATGGGCCATCATGAGATAGTTCAATAACACTGCTAACCAATATCTCATCACTGGCAACGGGTGGGGAGAGGCTCCTGGGGTTCCACAATTGGCATCTACATGTAAATGGCACGGGTTGTTGGACAGCTCCACTGCAAAGTTTGATGGAGGCACCAGCTTTCCTCAGGTGCCATGTGTCTTCCTTACCTCCAATTTTTCCTCTGAAATACAAAAGAATATCAATCAAGGGCAAGAGAATTTTTCCCAAGTGAAGTAAGCAATGACAAGGGTTTTTGAAATGCAAGTTGCAATTACTTGCAGTTTGAAAAGTTATTCAGGTAATGACACTCAACCTTAAAACATAAACTACTGGTAACTGTTCTTTTTGCCTAACTGTTTCTTTTTTCAGTCAGTAATTAAAGTATGAACAAAATAAAAATGGTAAAAAAATTTAAAGTAGCTACTCCCAATAATAAATTAAAATTCTTGCTTTGGTTTACTTAATTGATATATGGACATCTTAAAGTTTTTTCCTGCAAAAACTCAATTTCAACAGCAAAACAAAATATATCAGTCTAAGATTGTTAAGTCAAATAATATTTTTTCAAGCCTGTACAAATACATGTATGTTATTGATCCAGTACTGAGCTGGAGTTTAAAATGTTGTAAAAGTTGTCTTTAATTTTTCTGAAATTTTATTTGATTCATCTTAAAACAATCTGTTAAATCTGATTGGCTGTTGTATTTTAGTAAAGCTTTCTCATTGTCTGAGAAATTGATACAGTTTAGAGCAAGAAATAGTGCATTTCATCAATAAATCACACCAGTGAAAGCCAATCAGATTGTAAGGATCACCAGTGATTTGAACAGGGATGTGATAAATTTTATAATAGCATTAGATTTATTAAGCATGAGCCTTATTTACTAAAGATTAAAAGAAAAGAAAAGAGAATAACTGTAATTTACAAAAAGGTCTGGAGGGTTGCTCCATGGTCAGAGCACTTTGTCAGAAGTTGCTATTAGACCACATCTCCTGGCAATTCCAACCCTGCCCAAGCAACTCAGTCATTGCAGACAAAATGCACCTTTTGATCAGAGTCTTTTGACCATCTTCAGTGTCCACTGTTGCATCTTCTTCATCTGTCAAATCTAAAGTATTAATTTGTTTTCAGTACACAATAAAACAGACATTTTATTACCACTCAATTCCCAATACCTGTTCAACAAAATTGTTCAACATAGGGCCTTTCCACACTGGCGAAAAAGTTGTTTATTATGAAAAATTTTCTGTCATCACCAACATTTTATTAGTGTGGATGGTTTGTGCTGAATTGACAAATTTTGGCCAAAGTGGACAAACTTATATAAGCACTATTGACAAAATATGAATCATTATTAATTGGGAAGCTAAACATCAATAACTGAGAGACCTGGACTGAGTACAGGCAGGGTGCTTATCAGTATTTTCCCTCCCTTAAGACTGAGCAATTTGTTCAGCTTACAAGTCATGAGACTTGAGCAAAGCTTATGGCTATTAACCACGCTGATGCATTTTAATTGCGAAATTACTTTTATTAGAATAAATTACACTTAGGTATCTGTGCACCCGTGTTATTAGTAATCTGGCAAGCTAGCAAGCAAAAATTTTATTTCTAGCTTTAAGAATAAAGTTTTAGTTTCCTTCCCACCCATACCATTGACAGTTTTGATTGTATCTTGAATCTCATTCATGTTCATAATTTATCCTTGATTATTGGACCATTGGTTTTAGTGTATTCATCAAATATTTTTTATGTCATAGTCTAGGGTGCTATTTACGTAGGATATATACATTTAAGAAACTAGCTGTGTGGTCTCAAAAACAGGCCTCTGTCTGTTGTAGTGTTTAAAAATGATTCAAGGATAAATCCTAAAATTGGAGGTGAAATCCTTCGGCAAATTAGATCAGTCAATGGCAGAATTTTGACGACTTTGGAAATTTTTTCATGCAGATGTGACAAAATTTGTTCTTTCATTTTGTCAGGACAATTTTAGTTTTAACTGTGTGTATAGAAAAGCCCGTAATTACATAATATAGAGTTTGATACAACATAAATTAAATACAATGGAAGAACCAATCATGCTCTCTTTTGCAATTAAAGGCTCAGTTTGCTATTTGTGCTAGAGAAGTAAAGTAGGCCTGTAGTAGGGGTGGATCAGAGCCTCTCTATTGTGTTCTTAGGTTAGGCTAAGTTGCTTCATGTTCATCAAGTGGCTTTGGAGTATAAATGGAAACTGGTTACTTGTCAGGGAAGCCTGCTAAATTATTGGATTGGGGGAGGGGTCAATTACCCTGTAATGGACTCTACTCTCTTTAAAGAGGAATTCAAAAATTATTAAATTAATCTCTTCATAAGGTTTCAGGATAATTAATAAGCCACAACCCAGTGATCATTCAGTCTGAGGAATTTTTGATACACTCAAAAATGATAATAACTATGTATAAATATATGATAAACTCTTGAAAATTGGCTCTTGTGTTTGACAAAAGCCCTTTTTCAGAGGTGTGTACAATCACATACAATGTACAGTGTACAGTTGAACCCTGTTAAAACTCCATACATAACAGTACTTTCTTAAATTCTTCCTTTGTTCAGGAAATTGTCTTACACATTGTCAAACTTAATCTTCTCTCTTTTCTTGTAGAGTATAACAGAGCATTGAAAAGCAAGAGAAGAACTAAAGGTATCTGACTAGTGCAGTTGCATACATCTTATAAATCTGATTCTGCTCAGCAATAAATTAATAAACACAGAACATGTACATGTCTTCAATTTGGGTTATATACTTAAGTATGCTTATAAAGCCAGAAAAGATCTAGAGATAATAAATGCACCTTAACAAAACTGGGAACCATATCAATCCCATATGTCAGTCTAACCATCCTATATCTTACCCATATATGGGCCATGTTAACCCTTTAACTCCCATGAGTGACCAAGACATAATTTCTCCTTACAATATCAATACAATATCAAGGAGACAAGTAATGAGAATAAAGAAAAATATCAGTTATGAGATTATAAGTTGATCCAATACCAAATTCTCCAAACTGACATCACAAGAACTGTATGGGAGATAGTAAGGAGAATTACTAATGAGATCTTGGGAGTTAAAGGGTTAATAGTCCATAATTTGCCATATCAAACCCATACTTTTACTTTGGTAAGGGTAGGTATCATTAAAAACATGACATGGAAATAAGTCAAACAACTGTAAGGTTTGGTACCTTTTGAGTGAGTTGTCACCCCTGGAACTCTCCCATCTTTTAAAGCCTGAAAAATGCAAAATGTTGTGTTTAGTCATAAAGTAGTCATAATAATCCATCAAATGTTTCTGCCCACACACAATTAATCTGACTGTATCACATGATCAAACATGACCCAGCAGAAAATGGGTAATATCTGATTTCCCAATTTTCAAACTTTATAGGTGTATTACTTTAGGAGCATTAATTTAAAATTTTATTGAACAATTGAGAGAGTATTTAGGTAAATATTACAGAAGAGACAATTGTTTATTTGTTCATAAAGTGGTACTATACTAGAACACTGAAAATTTAACATCCTTAAGGCTGCAAACAATAAATTGTTTGCAAACATTTTATCTGCACATTGCAGAAACGTTTGAAGGGTAATAAACACGATAGCTTCCATTTGGTGTGAAAATATGCTTTTATATTTGTCTTTAGACATCATCTGTCCATCAAAGCTCACAGTTTTCCTCATTAAAAAAGCTTCACTCTTGCAAAACTGTTTGTATCCTAAAACAGATAATGTCTGTAAACAAGAATCCTTGCACATTTTTGCACAGAGTAGAGGCTATTGTTATATAGGATTAAACAACAAAATGAATACATTTTACACATTGATTACATCCATTTTGGAATCACTTGTGATATTTGCATTCTTATTGCTGCTATCAGTGGTGTGATATATTCACAAATTGCACCATTTTATGCTCTAAATCGCATCTTTTTCCCAGTCAATGAGACAGCTTTACTGAAACACAACAACCAATTAAATTTCAAGGCTTGATTAAAAAAGAGGTCTATCAGATCACAAGAATATGAGAGACAACAACTTTTTACAAATCAGCACTGACTAAAAACAAAGTTGTTTTGAAGGCTTGAATTTTGCGATTCAAAATAATGTAATAAAGTGGTAATTGAACTTTGTCTTGTGCAATTTTGTTCTGAAATCATTCTAGAATCTTGTGATTCCAAAATTCAATCAAAGTTGTGCTGTGTGCTGCTCGTTCAATTTTGAAAACCATGCATGCTGTATGATTTCAGACCAAATTGCACTCCACTTAGTTCAATTATGTAGAATCAACTGGCCCTCCTATCTGTGCTGTCTCAATATCATCTGTTTGTGTAGTTGTACTGCATTATATAATGAAATCAAATAAAAAGTTATACAATGTTTAGTATACATGTATCTACATACATGTAAGGGGAGCTCATATCTAGCTGTTGCTGTTACCTCTTGTTAAATTGTCAATGAGGCAGCTGTGTGTTGCAGACTACAAGTGACTTCTAAAGACTTTTTCAATAGAGCATGCATGCAAGTAATCTTTGTGATAGGAAATGGATGAAATATAGAAATAAACTTGTAATCAGTATGCAGGTACTAGATCATAAAGAAACAATGCAAGTTAAAACCAGCATACCCGTAACGCATCTGTATATTGCTCCTCCTGCTTGTAATCTTTAAGTTGATGACAAAGGTGTATCACTTGGTTAAGAAGCTTGATCATTTCTTCCAATGTGTAGTGAAGTGTATCACTTTCAGTTTCCAGGTCACAGTCCTTTTGAAGTTCTTCTTTGGTGGCATTGTACATACCCTCGTAGAACCAAAGCTGTTCTTTTTGCAATTTATACTTGTCATTCTCATCACTGACAAGATCCATCAAGACATCAATAATGTCCTTGTTAGAATCATTAAAAGCAAATCTTGGAGACTTTTTCTTTTCTATCCAAAAGTGTTCACAAAACTTCAAAGCATCTTTTTGAAATTTTTGTTTCTCTTCTCTGTTCTTCAAATAGTCACACATGTTCTCCACACCAGTGATAATTTTTCGCCACACCTCACTATGGTTCCCAACATCAAGCGACTTCTCCATCTGCCATGCTTCAAGGTAGAGTTTCAAGGCTCCCTCATAATCTTGCAAGTAGGCCTGAAGGTTAGCTCGCTGGAAAATGCTGCACACCATAAGTGGGTGATTCTTTAGAAGATTCTTCCTAATGTTGTAAGCACGCATCGCAGGTTCGGCTGCTTCTGAATATTTCTCCTGCCAGATAAGGGCATTGGCAAGTTCTCTGCAAAAGTGTGCTTCATCCCCAAAACCTGAAAGATTGAGTTCTTCTAGAAGCCTCAATGCATCTCTGTAATATTCAACTGCCTTGTCATACTTTTTGAGACCCTCATATGCTGTGCCAATTTGGTGCTTGTACATTGGCATATCAAAGTGATACTCAGAGCCAGCCAAATTCTCTTGCATATTATAGGCTTTTTCATAGAACTCAAGTGCTTCCGTTGGCTGGTTAAGGCGGGAGTAACAATTTCCAATAGCATTGTAGCACCTTGCCAAATCTGTATGCTCTTTTAGCAGCTCCTCTGAGAATGTCAAGGACAACTGCAAGCTTTCAAGAGCTTTCTTGTAATCAATGTTTCTCCAAAGAATTTCACCTTCAGTATGCAAGTAAAGGGCTTTAGTGAGCTTGAAAATGTCAGTGGATTGATCTTCAACTTTCTCCATTGAACTCAAAGCTTCCTTCAGTATCTCAAATGCTTTCTCTGTTCCATGAATGTCTAAAACTTGCCTGGCTTCCCAGCACTTCAACTGTGTTCTACCAAGAGAACCTATTACATAAAAATCTTATTGAGAATTGCATTCAGTCTTAATGAAGAGTGCTTTTCAATTGAGTGTTGTAAAACCAAAACCAAAGTAATTACGATGGCCAGTCAGAAGAAAGGAAAAAACCTTTGAAAGCCATGAGAATTCAAACTAAAACCAACCAATTAGCTGCTAATTTGATATCTCCTTCCAAATTAGTCATGAGAATTTTCTGTTATCTGACAATATAACAACTTCTATCTCATAAGTTTTTATATCCTTATTACCTGTATGCTTGAACATGTATTGATATTATGGGGAGAAGTTACAGGTTTATCATCAGTGGGAGTTAAAGGGTTAATGTTTCATTTGCTTTTTTAGTTTGTTTCTTGTGTTTACCTTTGCTTTATGAGTCCAATTGCATCTTAGATACTTCTTATTCTAAACAAAGAATTCTGTCATCGGCATTAATCTCTGTCTAAACTATACATAGTGATGTAAATAGCTCTGATAATTAACATATTATTAATGTTCTAAAATTAATGACCTTCATATTGGGATTAGAAAAATGATTGAAAACCAAAAAAAAAGAGAACAAATACTCTAATTACAACAAAAGAATTAAATACCAACTATATCCCCCCAGATGGTAAGAATTGATCTAGTTGCCTTTTTAGAAACGATTTCATTAACAAATCTGGTAAGCAGCAGAGAGCAATATTGTATTTTATCCTCAAGTCCAGAAGTTTGACCACTTCATCTCAGTGCTGCCTCCTGTGTCTCATGTGTTTACATACAGCTATGGTACTGGTTATAAGCTCAGAGTCACTAAAATTGATAAATTGTAACCAAAATATTAAAATAAATTCAATAACTCTGGAATAAACATCTCACTTCCAATAGCATCAAATTATACTGCACTGAAGCCCTTGAACAAAGAAAAGTCTTGGGATCCAAATGGCACTGATAGCTCTAGCTAGTTTGTAGGCCATTTTGAATGTTGAATTGATGGAAGTATCTTCATTATGTTGAAGTTGTGATTTTGTTTCGATATGAAATAATTCTTAATATTCACATACACAAGCATTTATATGTATCCGCAAGTAAGAAATCACTTTTTCAATCATAGCAAATTTAAGATAGAACCTTGATTTGTTGATGTAGCCCTGATCATTGCACCACCACTAATACTTATTCTTTAGTGATACATGTATGCTTCTCCCCCACAAACATTTTTTTGTGTCTAATAAAAACCTAAAGAAGCACATGGTACCACTATGAATGCTTAATTCAAATGGCAGTCGAAAGTTTTAATTTTTAACTCAAATGGGGCACATGAGTGTCCATTAAGTGTCACCCTTGTGTATCCCCTAAAGCTCTTGATTGTGAAAAAAATTCTCCTCCTCAGCACCTTAGGAAATGTTTAGAGAAAAGTATGGAAAATATTAACATACTGATGTTAGGTTAAAGAGTCTTTGTTGAATCAGATAGTCAATGTCCTTTCTCTATGCTTCATACTAACGTAAGAAGTTTGCGGAAAAACATTGATAATTTTCAAGTCCATCTTTTAGATGAACTTGACTACCAATTCAGTGTAATCGGTATTACAGAAACAAAAATTACAAATTCATCTGGGCTAGATTTCAATGCCTGCATACCAAACTATCAGTTTGAATATGTCCCAACACCTCTATCATGTGGAGGTGTTGGAATGTACATTAATAATTGTTTGAAATATAAGGTTCTGGAGAGAACATCTAAAGACGCTTTTCAGGCTTTATGGATCGAAATTGAATCCCTAAAGAGTAAAAATATCGTTTGTGGAGTGATTTATAGGCAGCATAATGATCCGGAACAATTCCTCCATTATGTTGACTTTACTTTAGAAAAACTTAGCTCCTCTGATAAAGTTGTTTATCTTATGGGCGATTTCAATATTGATCTCCTCAAATCTGAAATTTCCGATTACTCCCAAAATTTTTGTTATCTTTACAATGTTATTCGTTCTTCCCGGTAATTGATAAACCAACTAGAGTCTACAATAATTCTGCCACACTCATTGATAATATATTTCTGAATAGATTTGATCATAAAATTTCAGGTGGAAATATCGTGTCAGACATTAGTGATCACTACTCCCAATTTTGTTTTATCCACAGTCTTATACCAAAAAATTTACTACTAAACATAAAATTCGCGATTATTCCAACTTCTCTGAAGAATGCTTTTATTAATGATGTCTTGGATACTGATTGGGATAACTCAATGACATATGGATCTGTAGACAAATGCTTTTCTTCCTTTTACAATAAATTTAACAAGCTCATTAATAAACACGCTCCTCTCAAAATCTTATCTAGGCGCAAGGCTAAACAATTTTCCAAACCGTGGATAACTAAGGGCCTACGTAAATCTATCAAAATAAAGAATAGACTCTTTTATTCAGGAGATATCTCAAAATATAAGCTGTATAGGAATAGAATTGTTACTCTTTCTCGTCTCAGTAAAAGATTGTATTATGAAGCTTACTTCACTACAAATCTAAGAAATGTTAAAAAAAAACGTGGGAGGGGATTAATGAACTATTGAACAGACAGCGTAACAGAAAAACAGTATCAGCCCTTCAACGCTCTAACAACTCTGGAGTAACACAAAATCCGTCTGAAATAACCAATATCTTTAATCAGTACTTTGCGTCTATTGGACCGCGACTTGCACGCAATATATCACCTTCCAGGATAAATTTCCAGGACTACCTTGTCGGCACTAATCACTTTAAGTCTTTCTTTTTTGATCCCGTCGTTCCATCCGAGGTGGACTTGGAAATCTTAGCTATACCCAGTAATAAAGTATATGGCCTATATTCTTGCCCGGTTCATCTTTTTAAAAAATCTGGGCGCCATATCCTTTCTCCACTCTTAGCTGCCATGATGAATAAGTCTATCTCAACGGGTATTTATCCCCATTTTTGAAAAGTAATTCCTATCTACAAATCGGGAGACGAAACTGATCCATGTAATTACCGCCCAATTTCCCTCCTTTCTGTCTTCAATCGATTATTTGAGAATTGATGGCTAAACGTCTTAAATCACATTGCGAAAAAAACGGTATCTTTTTACTTCTCAATATGGATTTAGAGACAAGTGTTCAACCCAACATGCAATTTTAGATATCTTAAGCAAAATTCAAACTAATATTGATGCAAAGTTATTCTCTTGTGGTATTTTTATTGACCTAAAAAGGCTTTTGATACGGTGGATCACTCAATCTTACTGCACAAATTATATCATTATGGAGTCAGAGGAATAATTAATAACTGGTTCTCTTCTTGTACTTGTTGAACAGGAACCAGTCGACTCAAATTGGTTCAACCGTGTCGAATATATAGAAGAGATAGTTTGTGGTGTCCCTCAAGGGTCTGTACCAGGCCCCCTTCTCTTTTTTTGATTTATGTTAACGACATTTACCGTTGCTCCCAGATTTTTGAGTTTTACCTATTTGCTGACGATACTAACTTGTTTTATTCAAACAAAGATCTTAAGGATCTTGAAAAAGTTGTTAATGATGAACTCGCAAAAGTGGGTGACTGGTTGGACGCAAACAAACTTTCTCTTAACACTAGTAAATCTAACTTTGTTATTTTCCATCCTTACCAACGCAAATTGGACTACATAGTTCACTTGAAAATTTATAATAACGATCTTAAAAAAGTGTATCTCTAGAACAAAAAAACTTTTGTGAAATATCTAGAATTTCTGATAGATAATAACCTCTCTTGGAAGTATCATATTGATTATATCTCATCTAAAGTTAGTAAAGGAATTGGTATAATTGCCAGGTTAAGACATCTTGTCCCATTTGCCACACTTCTTAACATCTACCGCTCCTTAATTGAACCCTATATCTCTTATGGTCTTATTGCCTGGGGACAAGCTGCTAACACTCATTTAAATAAGGTTCTCATTTTACAAAAAACGTGCTCTACGACTAATGTATTTTGCGGATAGCAAATCTCATAGTGCCCGCTATTTGTTAACTCCAGAATCTTACCAATAACTATGCTCTATTCTCATTTGGTTTCCTCTTTGATGCATGACATTGATAATCACCGTGCCCCGTCTAATATTTCTATGCTCTTTATCCACCCGAGCAGGTTCATCACCATTTCACAAGATTCTCAGCAACGGCTAATCTGTATACTGATGTTAGGGTGTGAAGGGTTAACCCTTTAATTCCCACAAGTGATTAATATGAAACTTCTCCCTATAATATCCATAATACAATATTTAGCAAACAAGTAATAAGAATATTTAAACTTATCAGGTAGAAGCTGCTATCTTGATCTATAACCAAGTTCTCATAACTAATTTACACAAAAATGTGTAGCAGGTAGAGGAGAGAATTAACAATCAGATCTTGGGAGTTAAGGTTAAAGCATGAATCATATCTGTCAGAAAAATAGGATTATGAATTGTTGTTACTTTATTAATAAAGCTGAGATACTTCATTCCACTTTTAGGAGTGGAAATAAGCTTCCAATTGTTAATTTTACCCATGTCAATGAGCTACTGATATGACTGTTGATAAAATGTCTCCTGGACAACATAAGAATCATAAGTCAATTTCTTCCAATTAAATATGATATAACAGACAAGCATTAGAACAGTCAGAGCCATTATGACCCTTACCTGATTTTCCATCATCTTCACACATCTCAGCCCAGGAATGAAACAGGGTAAATACCTTGCGTTCAGTCAGCATTACCATGAAAAGTGATGCAATCAAAGCATTCTCATGAAATTCACCTGGAACTTTGAAATATTCTGGTTGTAAGGAGATCTCAAGAGCAAACTCATAATTTGCCCTGTCAGTGTCAAACAAATGAAATGCTTTGACATACTCGGGATCTATAAGTTTCGCTATTTTCTTCATCCTGGACATAAAGAGTTCGTAATAGCGTCCCTTTGCTTCCATGTAGGCTGCGAAAAAGTGTTTGTCACTCTTGATACTGTCAGCATACTTTTGTAAGAGTGGATGAATGTCATATTTCCTCTCTTTTGCTTCTTTATCGACTACAGAAATTATTGCACTGGCCACAAGACCCTCTAGCTGTGCAAGAGCCTCTGTTTGGTCAATACCGAGAACCTTGGAGGCTGTTGCCACAGAGAATGGCCCATGAAACAAGGAAATTACAACTGCAGTCACTTTTAAACTGTCACTTGGAAGTGTAGCAAACATTTCTCTGATTACAGATATCTGACCTGCATCAACTCCTTCTTCTTCAAAACTAACTGACATTTCTTCAGCATCCTCGTGCACTTTTGTTTTCTCTGGAGTAGCAACAACTCCAGCAATAAGGTCATCTGCAGATTTTCTTTCCTGGCGCAAAATAGCACCCATTCCTTTAAGAACAATTGGGAATCCTTTGGAGATGCCGATTAGATTATCTTTCTGGTGGACTTGAACACCAGTTGATCCCGCAGGAAAAAGAATCTTCTCTGAAGAAGACGTTTTTAGAGACTTCACTTTAAAGTTATCCACCAGTTTGGCATTTGTGAACTCAATCCTCGATGTGAGCAGCAGCTTTAATGCACATCTTTCTCCTTTGCCATCGAGTTCGAAAAGTTGTTCGAGGAACTGTACAAAGTCTGTTTTTAGGCTCTTCCCATCCATTTCTTGTCCTGTGGCAAACTGGTCCACATTATCGAGCAAGAACAGAACGGAATGCCCTCCACTTTTTAAATCTTTGACCTTATCGCGAATGTTTTTTACCGCAACATAGTTCAGGTTCATGAAACCGACTGGAACAGCAAGGTCAAGGGAACTAAGGATGTGGTAATACATTGCTTTCATACTATTAACTTCTCTAAGATCAAAGACTCGATAATTTCCTCGCCACTGTGAGCAAACTTCGTTGGCGAGTCTTGTCTTTCCAACACCGGAAGACCCAAACAAGTTCAACACTGGGACGTCTTTTAACTCCAGTTTTTCGGTGATCTCCTTAATGTCATCGTCCCGCCCTTGAAATTCCTCCTCTTTAACAGCTGGACGAGAGGCTTTAAACTTTCTTATAGCTTCTTTGATCAGTTCTTCTTTGCTCGATTTCGGAGCAACGTAGTCTTCGATTAGTTTCACTTTGCCTCCAGACACATAGCCATGCTTCGCAAGAAGTTGTAAACATTGCAATAAATCGTGACTTCTTAGCGAATTGAATTTGCCTCCATAGTTATTTTTCAAAGATTGCACAACATTTTCCGACTCTGTGCGGTCAAACATCGGAGATATGTCTTTGAACAGATGTTGTAATTGCAAACAGCTCTCTATAGCGACGGCCGCCATCTTAATTTGATTGCGGCTAAACATAGACAGCTCCTTTATTATGTCACGCGATCTCCTCACGCATCCGAAAGTGACACGAAAGTTCTATATTGGTGGCGTCTATGATTTCGATAATGATTGATTGCTGCCTGATGACGATGTAACTACTCGCTATAGTTCCACAACTCGCCCTTTTTAGTTATTTTGTTTTCATTGATGCATTTATCTACTCTTTTTGGCACTGAAATTAAACTGCCACGGGCTCAAAAGATCAGAGAGATGATACAGGTCACGTATATTTCGCCTTGATACTCAATATCCTGCTTTAAGGCGCCACTTTTTTAATCTAAAAATTATGTCTTTTCTCTTTCAAAAGTATAATGCTGAACAAATCACCCATTTGTCAAAAAAAAAAAAAAAAAAAAACCAACTGCGGTGAGGATGTTTTAAGTAAGCATTATTTCAAAAGTGTCCAACATTCATTATCTTTCTTAAAGGGAGTGAAAACACTCACAAAAGATCGCATTCCCATCTAATACAAAGGGAATCTTGAGAGGCATTGAAATATGGAACGAATCTCTCCCGAAGGAATGTCTCTGGCTAGCGTGCCTTTTTAAGCCCAAAGGAAAAAAACACTTTATACTGTAAATTCCCAACGCAACGGAAGTAATGCCTCTCGGCTAAATTTTTCTTGGTTTTCCCGGTACCTTGTAAGTTATCACTTCTGACTTAAAACTATAACAATGTAAAGACAAGGAACTTGCATAAAACCAAGCAACTTAAATCCGAACGTAGTAAATTTCTCCGAAGTTGACAAATGTTTGAACAGGTGAAGAATGTGATGGCTAATAAAGAAACTACTTGCGGACCTAAAAGAACTCTGCCAACGATTTCGTTTAGTTTAATACCGCACGATGTTGGGATTTTGATGACTTTTCAACAGAACAGCAATTCGTATCGTTCCCCTTACGGGACTGACTCGAGCTGTTTAGATGTAATGAGAATCCCGTCAGTTATTTGCGGGCGATCCTCTTCGGATATTTTTTGTCAAAACGAGTAAGGAACTCGTCAGGATGCCAGAAGAGTGCATGCAAGCTCCTCAATAATCTCCCGATATTAACTTTTTGCTTTATTGCGGGTATCACCGCGACCATACCGTCAGAACTACCATCGCCATGCCAGGGACGTTATCATATTTTATTGTTCCAGGAGTTGTCTCACAAATCTCTTCATTTGAAATGATATTCGAATCTACTCCGCACTTTTTTAACGGCCACAGATAGATGTTTCAGTTTTGGAAGCAGCTCATTCCATTTTTTCGAAATAAACGGCTTTTAACGCCTTGTCCTCGCGTAGCGCTTTACCCATAACTATATCTTGGTCACAGCTTTCCCGTTCCATGAATAGGAACTTTATCGCTTCCTCGTCGAGTATCTCGAAAATATATCTGTAAAAGGAAAGTTATCAGTTTAACCAAAAGTTCGATTTCTCGGTGTGGTGCACACATATCCCTACCGCTCTTCAACCCTTTCTCCAGAGTGTTGGTTTGCCCGATATCTTAGCTTATTAGAGTTGCTCTTCCAAAAGAGTTGGTTTCGGTGTTTGAAAAAAAAAAAACTCGCACCACACCTTCCAGTCATTAAAACTAATTAATGATCTCACACTCTATTCAACACGCAAATAAGACGTACATGTCGAATAAGACTGACTTCAAGTCTCGCATCCTATTCGGCACGCTCAGGAAACTCACATGTTAAGAAAGATTGCCTCAAGTCTCGCACACTATTTGGCACACACAGAAAACGCACATATCAAGTAAGTTGACTTCAAGTCTCGCACTCTATTCGGCATGCGTAAGAAACGCACATGTCGAGTAGGGTTGTCTTTAAGTCTCGCACTCTAATCAACAAGCATAGGAAACGCACATGTCGAGTAGGGTTGTCTTTAAGTCTCGCACTCTTTTTAGCACTCTCAGGAAACGTATATGATAAGTAAAATTGCCTCACGTTTCGCAACCTATTTGGCACGCACAGAATACACACAGACAAGCAAGATTGACTTCAAGTCCCGCACTATGTTGAGCACACACGAAACGCATATGTCAAGCAAGTTTGTTTCGCACTCTGTTAGGTACTCACAGAAACGCACATGTCGAGTGAGATTACCTACAACACTCGTACTTTATTCGGCACGCACAAAACGCACTCGTCAAGTGAGATTGACTGCAAGTATTGTGCACTATTCGGCACGCACATAAAACGCACATATTAAGTAAGAAAGTCTCCAATAGGTTTTTCGGGATCCGAGATTGGACTTATTTAAATGCCGGGATCCGGGAATTTAAAGTAAGATTTTGAGGAGCGGGATTCGGGAAATAATCACTTAAACAAACCAAGAACCGAAATGTCCGTTGACGAGAATTTATGAAGAAATCTATATTCTCAGTCCGTGAAAAAGACCAGGCGAACAGGCGGCGGTCGGACTGTCATTGCGCGGGAATGAAAATTATATTTAAAGCGAAGTTACCAATTTACCAAAAATCCTCAATGGTCCACAGAGAAACGAGGCAAATCAGACTGCTGCGTCAGTTGAAATGCTTAACGGCAAGTCTAAGAATTATACATAAATGACGCTCTTAACCTGTTGAGTTGCATGACACTGGACGTGAAGAATATTCAGTTTATCTTTTGCATCACAAAGATAAACTACTCACGGTGTTAGATTTTTTCAGTAGGAACGTTGGTAAACAGCGATTCTACGTCGAAAGATACCATGATCTCGTTGTCTAGGATCGTCTCATTGCTAACGGTGGATACGAAGTGGGCTGAATTAGTCACCGTGTACTCTGACTTTCCTGTTAAAGGAGACAAGATGTTGGCTAAGTAGAATCGCTGTTTACCAACGCTTCTATCGACGCCGCTGCCGAAGCCGCACTACACGCGCAGGGTCAAAGAGGCAATTTATATAAGACTTCACCCTAACAACATCAACGGGGATAGTGGAATAGAAATTCCAGAGGCGTGGATGCCCACGATAAAAAAAACACAACAACAGGAGATCCGTGCGACAGCGGACCACCGAGGGAGCAAATATCTGCGTGAAACAGCTAGAATCGAAATGCACCAATCAAAGCTGTTGAAAAATAACTAGTCACAGCAGAGCAGCATGCTTTCTAAGATCACGCATGACCAGTCGACCTCATCGCCTGAAGAAGACTAGCAGTATGCAGTCGGAAAGTCGCAAATTGCATTACACGTGACTACATCGCGAGACAAGCGGAAAACTTCGCTTTTAATCTGTTACTGTTGTGTTACTGTTGTTCGTCAGCTTACCTGACTGCTGCGGATAATGAAGCTTGCCTTACCTGACATAAAGTTACACGTTTTGAGGTTAAAGTTCAAATGATTGAGCTCATACATCGTCTCCTATTTTGTTTGAGAGAGGAGTTTTGATATCTTTATATGGGGACATAGCAAAGGATTTTGCAACTTGATCACCAAGTTATGAATGGTTCTGTCTCACAATTAAATATGTATGAATTGAAGATAATTTGTAAGCGCTTTTGATAATCAGCATTCGTAGATCGTTTTTATCAAAACCGAGGTTTTCATATATTTTTTTATAATCACACACTACCACTGCTATGTGATTACATCGTGGTGGTGATAGGTATTACGCACTCAGTTTACCTTCACTTTATTCTTACCACTTTCACAACCTGGCATTCTTAAAGTTCTGCCGTCACTGGAATAATTCAGGAACTGGAAAATATTATTAACCCAAAACCCATTACATTTTTGAAATGAGAGTAAGTAATTACAGTCAACTAAAGAAATGAGTATTGTCTTGAGAAGAATACTCACAAATAAATGGCCAATCGTAACTTAGCCAGACGGATTTCAACTCAATTGTTGTACGCAGTCACTGGGTGCCTTGATATTCCTGCCGCAGTCTATCTTTTGGTCAAAAGTAACTCTTGATGATTGTTGAAAATTGAAACTTAAGGATGACGCAGTTCGAAAAAGCCGTATCTTGCGTGACAAATACTTAGTAACCAAATGGTTCCGATTGCCTGATCAGTCATAATTTATGCGTCTCACTCATTTCAGCACGGTGCTCGATTTGGCATTTTACGATTTTACGGGCAGGGGTAATTTCCCTTCATTAAATGAAAATGGAGATGAAACTCGTGAGTTAGGATTTCATACAAGCAATATTCCAGAGACAGAAAGAGGCATGCCCTCTCGATTGCAGTGATTTGGAAGTTCCACCCAGCGTCGTGATAACCGTGCCACTTACCCATTGCTACTTCAGTAAACATTAAATATTTTTAGAACCGAGTTAATATGTAAACTCCTTAATACGAGTCAATGTGAACGTATTGACGGTCAAATCAAATTGCGAACGTCTACAACATGTGAAACACAGTTACCTACGTTAGACATGATAAACTGCCGATAGGAGAGAGATAAAAGCGGTTGATTCGCGAAGACAAGCAACCTGCTTAACACACCTTACTTCCTTGAGTTCACGACACGCTTAGTTTGTTCGGAAAATGGTTCACATGTAAGCATAGCCAGCTCCCAGTTCTCTACGATTACGTCTCTTTCCAAAGGTTTCGACAGTAGTTTAAACGTTCTCAAGTTTCTCATAGACATTTTCGAGAAGACGAAAGCTAACCACCTCGCGCTCGAATGTTTAACCAGCATCTTCAACCCTACTGTTAGTTTCGAAACGCGTAACTTGTGTACTTTTCTGTTACGCTTTTTTCGGTCTATTATTTCTTCGTTGGTCAATGATTATTACTTAATAAGTTTTTTGTTTCAATCATTTTCATTTAAGCACATTATATTTCATATTTCAACGCTATAAGTTGCTGTCGACACCACCAATTTAAATGTCTGCTATTCACGTACCGGATCCGCTATCGGCGATTTATCTACAATCATTAGGAGTTAAACCAAAGTAAGTTTTTCTTTATTTCTCATTTAAGATATTTCCCTTTTTTTTTTTGATACGTA